TCTCGGAGGTGAATGAAAACTGACCGTGGGTAAAAAAATCAATCAAAAGATTTATTCATCCGAAGCGCAATCTGTATTAATGGCTTTCATGCGTGTACTTGAATCTATTTATTTAAGCACACTTACAACCGCAATTGGAAACTCATACCAATAGTAATAAGAGTGGTTTTCGCTTATCTCAACCGACTGTATACACCATAGATTCAGTCCTATTGAATAATTGGAGCACCGTACAGTGGGCAAATTGGCAATGTTTACACAATGATTGCGGTTCGATTCTATATCTTATCAACCATTAGTTGTACGAGTTAGATACTGAAAGACTACATGAATATCGTAAGGATATTATTATCTACAGATTAATAGTCCGTAGAACAGTTAAGACTTCTAAGATAGATCAATAACGTGATAAATTTATTGGTTTTTAGTTGATTTGGGTACTTTGGCAATCCAAGCTTTCGTATTTCAGAATCTATCAACTGCATACGTCGTTTTAATACTCTCCAATCAAAGCCACTGAACCCAAAATCCTTTTTATCCGAGACATGGCACAAAAAAGGCCCCTTGTATAAAGTTACAAAAACCACCAGCGCGGTAGTTCACTTGTTGAACATTGTACGCGCGGGCGCACGTCTCACTTCACTTGTTTCGATACCGAAGGGACGGGCGCAGCCATTAATATTGCCCTGCTTGAACTAATTGCCCTTGTGAAGTACCATACTGTAATGATGTGTTTAAATTATTTTTTAAGATAGACAACAGTATCCTCCTTTAGAATCCTTTCTTTTTGAGAAACATACCTGACCTCATCAGACAGTTAAGTGGTTTAATGAATATTGTAGAGTAAGTTAGGGTTCAAGTAACTAGCCCTTGATGTTGTATAAACTTTCTGACCCACATTAGGTTATAGCATGATCAGCATTTTGTTACTTCGAAATACCAAATAAAATGACAATAAAACATGTTCTTTATAAACACGAATATTGATAAAACTATAAAACAAAGCCAAGACTCGTTTGGTGTACTATTTAGTCTCGGTCCATTAGTTTTTATAAGAAGGGACGGGCTGTCACTGTGCTCTGACTTACCTAATTGAGATATTATAGTGGCATACCTTTGAAAGGCAACACACTGGTCGAATATCATAGAAATCCTTTGTTCTATTTTGATAAACATGTCAGTTATTGGACAATGAGGTATTGTCAGTTATACACAACAAACGTAGGCCTTGTAAAGTAAGCGAGTTTTATTCAATCAGGTCCACTCTCTGGTCTCAATTACGAATCATTAGACCTCCTACATTAAAGTCTATTTACGGCTACAAAACCTACGTTTCTGGTCGAGCCCTGCACGACTTGTACAGTCCTGTCTTTGCAACCGATTGGTATACGACTAAATCGTAGCCTCAGTCCCAATATCGATTAGTATCTATTCAATAATGACACTAACAATATCAGCCAACAACAACCATTTGTCGAGTTGATTTGACTCCAAAACATTTTGGAGTTTGTTTTATTATCTACAATTGAAGTTAGCCAATAGGCCTTTACAGTTACTTCCTGTCACTAACCAGGCTTCTAAGCTCGGATTAGAAGCACTGATCTCCCACTTAGTAACTACGGGTGATTGCTTCCATGACACAGAACACGCTAAAAATTATGTTGAATGAATTTGACGAGTCAAATTATTTGCGTGGTATTTCTTGTCCCGCAACTCAAGGTCGTGTAACGTCTGGGATGTTGATATGGTTTATGTATTGGCAAACAGAGGCCCGTGAGATTTTTTGTTGGCATTCGCTGATTTGCCAGAGAGATATGAAGATTTCTGTACATATCGTCGCTTCCTTCATGAATGCTTTAATCGCTTATCATCTTAGCAGATGTTTTTAAAATCAGTATTCAATAATGAATGTTTAAGCGTCTTCAAAACATTTATTCTCACAAAATAAAAGTAGACGAATTCTACTTCCATGTGACGATTCCATCTCAAACTAGGAAGTGCGAAGTGCGGGTTATTTTAGGGACTGTCCTAAAACTAACCGTCCAAATTGCTTTGGAGGCAACGATTATAGTTGAATACTCATTTATTTCGCTACACTATAGGCTATGTTAGCCACGTGGGTGCTACAGTTTACAGTGCTAGGTACATAGCTTCGTTTGGTCATACGAGATAGTACGGCAATGTGCTTATGTACCTACAATAGTAGAAGCCACGTTTTGTAAGGATAATCGTAGTAAATAACTCGCTTACAGTAATTATACTAATTACACAAGTTTTTTTTTCTATTGTGTAACTATTAAAACTGTTTGAATGGATTAAACGTATGTTTTTTTTTTTGTTGTAAACCTGTTTTATGAGCTGGACAGTCATTATTTAATAAATCATACTCAATTTGCGAAAAATTGAGCCTAGGTTTTCTTGGAAAAAAAAACGAGTATTATTTTTTTCATTTGTCGAGGTTTCACTAGGTTAGCTGAGTTCTTTTTTTCAAATAGTTCATAAGTATACGAACGAAACAACTTAGTGAAAATATCATTATAAAATGTATTATTTTAATTCCAAAGCAAATACAGACTATTGTTTTCTTTGTTTCTTTGAAAAGTGTGATATTTCGAGCATGAAATACGATACCATGTTTACACTTAATTTTAGAGGCCGGTTTTTTTATAGATGTAGGTAGGTACATACTTTATCACAATTTAGAAGGAGAAAAAGATATTTCGTTTCAACGCATGCATGGCTTTCGCATCTGTTTACAAAACAAATATACAAAAAAAGGAAAAAGAAAGTTGTCGACAGACATTGTGCATCTTAACTTTATCCTGTGGTTAGGAGAAGGGAACTGAGTGCAGTTTTTTTGCACTTGTCCGTCAAGACGTCTCGGCAGAAAGCACTTGCACTCGACCGGCGATAAACTTTTTTTGACGAATTCAAAAACGAAATATCAATTCAGAGATCGTGTACAGATAAAAAAATATGTTTCAAATGCTATTTTAAAGTCGGTTTACTTTCCAATATCAAGAATTATTGCTTTTATTTATCAAAAGATTATTTTATTATTAGTATTTTAAAATCGGTAGAAAGAGTATCCATTTCCTTGTTTTAATTTTACCTACTAAGTAATAGCGTCGACATAGATTAGTATAGTATGATTTTCGTAAAAAAAATTATAGGCATTATATTTTTTTTTGCTAAACTTTATAAGTACAAGTAATAGAACTGCCGTAGGAAGTGTTTTTATGCTAACCTTGACTTTATAATTTATTTAAATTTATTTGTAGGTGCAAAACTGTGTTGCTATGGTCTTACAAACCATAGTTAATAAAAACTGTTAAATATTTCAGTTGTAGTATGTTTTCTGTGATGAAAATATTTTCGAAGAGGAATTTGAAACTTAAAATGGTTACAAAAGAGTTGAAATTTGAGCCCACCACAGTGTAATGTTACTTAAATATACTTATGTTCAGCAATGGAAGGAATTATATTCAGTTTCTGTTTACATAAATAGTGTTTTAAACCTCATATAGTTAACTTGTATGCCAATTTTGCCATTTTCCACCAAAATATAAACCTTACTCCAATATTTTTTGATAAAATAAAGTTGTAGTATGTGCCACTTGACACAAAAATTACAATCTTAAGATTATATAGCTTATCTTTACTGATAAGAAGTTCATTCACTTGGTTCCAGCAAAATTCATCACTTCTAAAACGTAGCTAAATCATCCTTGAAGCTCAACAAATATTTAATATGTAACAATTGACTAGACAATTGATAACACAGCAAATAAAAAGAAGTTCAATTAAAAAAATATAAAAAAAATTCAAGGTTAATCTGTTAAAGCAAATCTTACAAATAATCAGAATGTTATTATCAGCGTAGAGTAAGAAGTATAAACATAGTACTGGTAGATAAAGAGGTTACGGACAGGTGCGGTGCAGATAAGTAGAATTATCTGATCGCCACGGTCACAGCACTATTAAAATCTTTAAAGCATGAATGAAAATAATTTGTTGGAGATTAGTTTATTGATGTCTTGGTTGGTAATTAAGTGTAGTTATTTTTTTTAAGAATATTTATTTTACTCTGTAATCTTATTTTTATACTATTTTATAATATCTCAAAAAGAAGTTTATATTCCTACTTGTAACAATATTTCCTTTTTCCTAAAACCAGAAATGTTACAATTAATAATTGATTTAAAACCAATCAAAATATTACATATAGTAAACAAGCTATTTATAAGGAAAATAAAGACATTGGTTGGAATACACAGTTATAAAGTTGTGATTGTTAAATTCTTGATATTTTAAAACTTATCATCAGATCTGAATAGCATATTCAAAAGATTTGGATATACAGATAAAATAAATACTTATCTTGTAAGAGACTTAATTTACTTTGAATGTCAAGGTTAATAATAATCACCACGAAAAGTTTATTCTACTATAAAAAATAAATAAATATTGGGAATATAGGTAAATAGCGGATAAACTTGTTCTCGAATAATAGATCCATGAATACACCTAGGTACTCGCGTATACAGCCAGATATAAAGACTAGATACAATGTAAAAAAACAAACTAAACTATTACACTTCCTAATAAGAATCAAAGAGGTCAGGTTTCATTTAATTCTTATGTATTCTATAGAGTGTACGTAGCTGAAATACGAAACGAACTATAGCTACGATATCGTGTTAAATCGAAATACTACATAGGTACGTTTCGAGCGTAATTACAAGACTGGCACCGACGCAAAGTTCCTTTGGGCGTGCGCAATCCATAACCTATTTTACCACAATAACATCAATAAACAAAAACGTACAATACACAATATTTTTAATAATTTTCCGGCAAAATTCGATAACATTCATCAGTGTTTCAAACAAATTGAATACCTAAATAAAAAAAACAATAATTGAAATGATGGCGGGCGGCACAATGGCGCGCTCACTATTTGATAGGAAAACATTGAAACATGCAAAGAAAATACTCACGTTTAATACAAATAATCCACACTCACAGAAATTAACACTGAAGAACGTAATTATCACCGAATTTGGCGTGCAGTGATCAAACAAAACGAATTATTATCAAGTAAGCGTCGTTGAAACGCATCGTTTTTCCGGAATACCGAAAAACAGTGTTACCATTTACGATCTACAAAATTACAACTGTCTTTTAAGGTACCTTTCTTATTTTTTGTAGTGTGCTATAAGTGAAAGATGTTTTTTATACACAGCTCTCCTTATCAATCTAAACATTTTTATTTAATATAAAAATAAGCATCGCCTAAATATTGCATAAACATTGTAATTATGATGTAAAATTCACAAATGTCATTTGGCTTATATGGCAACATTTTAGGGTTGCAGGAAAATTGATTTTACTCAAATTATTGGAAAATGTTCATAACAAAAGTTCTAGTATGATTTTCTCTTACGTCGTGGATGATTATATAATTTCAAATACTCACCTCATCCAGACCTGATAAAATAATCTGCGTTTTGACCCAGCAGCCAGTTTCCCACCCAATCAATGCGGGGCTGGGTTGGTTGGTTAACCGTGCAGGAGTTTACAACTCTACTAATAAAAAAGGTACATTTCAGTTACATTATTAAAGGATTAAATTCTAGTCCCTTTGATATAAGATACAGATAAATGCAGAAACATGGCAACTACACTTACGTGTCGTTTCATGTCTCGTAACGAGCTAGTGGCATTTAGGTTTTAAGCTATTATTTTCATTAAATAAGTTTGTTTTTGCCTTAAATCTTGCCTCGAATCAATAGTTTTTATTTTAATATAATTTAACTGTGAATTCATAGCAAATATAAAAAATGTAATTGCATAGAAGTGGTCTTTTACTGCCAAATTGAAGGGAACTTCTTCATTTTTACGTGACAACCCCAAATAATTGTCAAATTCTAAAAATGTCATATGATAAGCTGTCAAAATTCAAAATATAACCAAAAACACCATGTGCGTTGAGATGTCACACGGTGTTTGATCGGAAAATAGTTGCTGTAAGTGATTATTGTGCCATGGATTACGTAGTAGGAAGCGTGGCAGCCCTAATTACAGGTAACGTGACACCACATCGTCCCACTAGACTCAACAAAATTGCCTTAACACCAACAAAACATCAACCTTCACCGAACGTTACTCCAAAGAGTGAGTTTGTCGACGATAGGTCCATATTTCTTTCACCAAGTATGCAGAAAAAGAAGGCTATAGTGAAGAAGTCGCCAAAGAGGATATTCCAGAATCCAGATTTAGATACAACAGAGAATGGTGAAGGAAATGCGAATCTCTCTAGTCCTAAGGCAGACAAAGTGAAGAAACATTTGAAAGATGATTTAGAAGCTGGTAGTACTACTAATCAGAATGTTCCGAAGTCTCCAAAAGGTAAAGGCAACAAAAGAGAATCAGTAAATCAAGAGGAAAGTGTAATTGATCAAGATAGTAATGAAAATACTCCTAAGAAGAAGAAAAAGAAACTGCTCTCTGAATCAGAGACTGCAACACAGCCTACAGAGTCTCAAAGTGCTGAGGTTGCAGCATCTGTAACCAAAAGCCCCAAAAAGAACAAACAAAGACGTAAATCTGTTGCGGAGCCAGACAGTAACAAAGAAAATGGTGACACTGAAGAAGTTATACAACCTGAAACAACAAAAAGCCCTAAGAAACAGAATAATAAATCAAATAATACTGAGACAGAAGAAAAAAGTTCAGAAATCACAGAAACAAATAGCACTAATTCACCTAAGAAGAAAAATAAGAAACGCAAGAAGAAATCAAAGGCACAAACTGTAGACAGTAAAGAGAACACAGAAGAGAAAGAACTAAATACTCCTGAAGCAGCTATAGAAGAAAATGTTAATGAAACAGAAGAAAAAGAAAATAAAAAATCAAAAAAGAAAAATAAAAAGAAGAAAGCAAAATTAATAGAGAATGTGGCAGCAAATATGGAAACTGATGAACAGGAACCGAATGAGAGTGAAAATGAAGATGAATCTAGTACCACAGTTAACCCAAATGCTATTACAGATAAAGATTCAGATTCAGAACATGATTCTGATGATGAAATTGATTCAGAAAATGAGGAAATTAACAAAAAGGTTCTTGAACAAGAGAAACAAGAAAGCTCTGATGAGGAAGAAGATGAAAAAGAAAAGCCTCAGAAAGGAGAAAAGAAAATAGCAGAGAAAGCAGAAGAGAGTGGAGTTGAGAGGAGTACAGAGGATGAGATTAAGAGGACACTGTTTGTTGGGAATGTACCTTTCAGTGCGAAATGTAAGAAGGAAGTCAAGAAGATATTCAGTAAACATGGGCAGATAGAAACTATTAGGTAAGAGTATTCTTTGGTAGTACTTTTAGTAGTACATAGTTATGCAACCAACAGCATGAAGTTATTTCAATCTTGTATACAAATTCAGCATCAATATTGGTTTTGATTAGAACCTCTATGGTCCTCAGATCCATTTAATACTTTTTTATAAAAGTAAATGTCATTGCAGACAATATAATAATATATAGAAACCGTGACCCATACTAGGAAATGGTGTGCCTTTAATGACTTTGTGCTTGTAGTAAACAATATGTTGCGTTTTTCAACAGAATTCGCACAGTTCCTGTAAAGGATGGCCGGTACACCCCCAAGTTGGCTGTGATCAAACATGAGCTGCATCCTGAGAGGACCACAGTCAATGTTTACATCAAGTATGCCAGTGAACATTCTGTAGAAAAGGTTAGTTTATTTTTTTTCAATGAATAATTATGTTTATTAATGTTAAGATTATATTACTAAACTGTTTTTAATAATTTATGTACAAATTTATGTGGGAGTGAAAAAGACTACTGATTAAATTTTTTATTAATTTATTATATCATAATTACATATTATTATAAGTGAGGGTAACGCCTACCTTCATATTGTAACTGCCTGCCATAATGAAATTAAGGTATAAATAGGTTACTGATATTTAAAAAACCAATGCTTGTTTTTGTTTGTATTTTTTTCTACTTGCCTATTTATTTAATCTGTCTTCTAAAGAGCTCTATTAATCAAGAACTGTTATTATTGTGAAACTGATTAAACAGTGGCAATGAAAGGGTTGCTTGCTTGTTTTCTTCATATAAATTTTCAATTTGGAATACTCAAATAATTTTGTCTGTTCTATGGAATTTTTAACACACATTGTGAAAATTGTAACAACTACTATGTGGCTTGCATAACCATATGCCTTAGGGACTTACGACAATAAATAAATATGTATTAAAAAGAAGTTATCATGATACATATTATTGTAACAATATAACACTATGTTATATTGGCACACATGTAAATTCCAACCTTTGCAAATTAAACACAAACCACTTTATTTTTCTTCAGGCATTAGTGGAAAACAACACAGTACTGAATGACCACCATCTTCGAGTCTCACGGAGCAGCAGTACAGGTGCCGAACATGATCCCAAGTGCTCCATCTTCATTGGAAACCTACCATTTGCTATGGAGGATGAGGCTCTGAGGGCCAAATTTGAGAAGTGCGGAGAGATACACTCTGTCAGAATTATCCGGGATAAAAAGACTAATGCAGGGAAAGGTGAGTTTTAGACAAATTAGCTTGTTTATTAATTACCTAGTACCAAAGGAGTTACTACTACAGGTGTGACTACAGGTGTATTGCCGGGCTCTTGTGGGTTATTCGAAATTCAAGGGTAAAGGATTTAAGACTATAAGGTCTTACAATTCAATAAAGAATGCAATTGTTAAAGCAATAATGTATTGTATATATTTTTTTATTTCAAAGCTGTCAATTCTTATTCATGCTACTATATGAATACACCTTTTCAGGTTTTGGCTACGTAAACTTCGAATCAAAAGATGGCGTCGAACTAGCTCTAGCATTAACCGAAGAAGATTTGACAGTCAAAAACAGAATATTACGCGTCAAACGATGCACACAAGTCACAAACAAGAAGAAACCGGATCAAACCAGTAACAACCAGAATAACCAACCACAGAGAGGTTTTAGAGGAAACCAAGGGCATCAAAGAGGGAATTTCAGACCTGGGAATCAGATAGACCAGAGGAATGGTCCTCCCGGTCGCTACAATCAGGGTAACAGACAAAATGGCCCTCCGAGTCGTAATAATCAGGGTAATAGACAGAGGAACTCGTTTAGAGGGGATAATAATCAACAGGGAGGGTTCAACAAATTTGGCGGTCAGAGACATCAGTCACAGAGGGAGGAGGGACATGATGGAGCTCATAGGAGGATCATGAATAAGAGGAAGAGTCAGGTAAGAGTTATTGATGTGGGGAATTCTTGCGTGTCTTGTAGGCTGTAGTCTGTACACTGAGACCAAGGATTTGTTTACATTTATGAAAAACTATATGATTCTAGATCGCTATTCTAAAGTTGCTTATTTTAGATTTTTGTCTAATAACAATCTGGAAATAGCCCAAATTAAAAAGCGTTAATATGGTTACCTTAAGCAATCTATCACGGCGATGCCCGACTGATTTCGAGCCAAGCCAAGAGCCCTTAGAATTTTATTTTTATAATCTGTAAAGTAAAAAGTAAATTTTTTTCATTTACTGTCTTACTATTGAACTTATAGACTATAATATTTTCCACAAGTATAAAAAAATACATTATATCTTTTGTAGGAAGGTACAGGTGGCGATGGGCCTCCTAACAAGAGGCCGAGAGACGAGAACCAGCCTAACAAAGAGAAGAAACCAAGAAAGGAATTCGTAGGCATGACGGCTGAAAAGAAGAAGGTTAGTCATTTGCAAATCTATAATTAAAAATGAATCATAAAATGTGTTGGTTTGCACATAACTCAAAAACGCCTGGACCAATTTTCACAATTTTTATATTGTTGTGTTCGTAATTGTCAGAAGAAGGTTCTTATGAAAGATAATTTTAGATAAGAAGAGGGGTAAATCGGGAAACTGCAACCAGTAGAACACCCGCGCTAAGCACGGCGGGGCCGCTAGTTAATCTAGTTATTTGTATAATTCAAAAACAATTTGTGTTTCACTAAAGAATTGCTCCGGGAATCAAAGTTAGACGAAACTAGATGTTGCACTGCACCCAGTCACTAAGCCAAAAGCTTCTAGTTTGATCCCCGATTCCAGTGAGACATCTGATATATTCAAATCTAGTAAACAATTCATTGTTTCATTGAATTAACTGAGAAAAGCTTTACTAGTTTCAAATCACAGTGGGTTGTGTAGTCATAAACAGCGTTGTGATGATGTCACTCAGCCGATTGGGTAGTTTCCTAGGTCAAAAATAAATTAATTCCTTTTAATACAGTGAAATATCGAAAAATAACTAAACTTTTATTCATCGATCAATTGATACACAAAAGTTTTAGATTTTAATAAGCTAATTTTTAAGAAACAAGTAAGCTATTTGACTCAAAAATACTTACTCAGTTTTTCATACGAATTTCATAGAAAAGTACCGTGTATAGTTTTTGACATTTGGATAAAAGTATTGAATTTGACTAGTTGGAAACAACCGTATCGGTAGAGTTATAAAAAAAATCTTAATGGTATTAGGTATTTAGCCGGGTATGTATCGAGTCCTCAGCCTGGAGCAGAAGAAGGAACGAAGTAGTTTTTAGTCAGTAAGAGTCTGACACTCCCTCTACAAATATCTTGTTTTATCTTTTGATTTATTTTGTTCCTCCTATTTGGGTCCAAGACAGTCATTCATGTGCTTGGGACGCGCCGGACTTCAGTGTTTCGGTGTATACATAGTTGTGTCTACTGTAGATCTTAGCTAACAGGAGATGCAGAGGGTTTGAGAAGTAGCGGGCTTCTCCCAAAAAAAAAAAACACTCCATCTCCCCTCATTATGAGCGAGGAAAGTCATTTGGGCATTTTTCTAAATGAAACTATGTATTTTTCAAATTAATATGTTCTAATGATAAACCTGTTGTATTTCAGAAACGCAAGTTTGACAAGGGACAGAAGAAGAAGAAGGCTCTGAGCGAGATTTTAACAAAATAGTGTGATAATAATAATAATTAAGTGATTCTCTTCCAAGTGTACTGTGACGTATGTATTAAGTTATTGTTTTATCATGATGTGCATTAAAGTAATGAACATTTAATTCGTAGTGTTTTTGATGTTTGGTATCATCATCATCACCGTCATCATCATCTCTCGTCGTCTAAGCAGTCTAAACTAATATTATAAAGGTAAAATTTATAAGTTTGTATGTAGGGGGTAATCTTTTATAACCACTGGTCGGATTCCCAAAATTCTTTCACTTATTGATAGCTACAATATTCGCGAGCGCTGTAGGCTAAAAATATCACGCTACAATCAAATGGAGCCGAGCAGCGAGTGAAATCGCCCGGGAGTAGCTAGTTATGAATAAAAATACACAGATTATTTGGTACAGTATTTATTGTATAGTTGTCATTACAAAAATGTCAATGTTAGCAAAAATAATCACAGTCTGACACTTCTAAGATACAATAATTAATTATACACACAATCGATGCATTCGTAGCGACACCTATCGACCGATTTACACAACTATTCGATGTTCCATTTGCTAAGCGACATCTATAGACAAAGTTTAAAAAAAAAAGAATATTTTATACAAAACGCCACATATAACTTAAAATAGTTAAAATCTAGACTATTTACCGTATCTAGACTCCGTAAAAACCTAACTTAACTGTACATCACTAATATCTATGAAATGATGTGACCATTAGATATCATATATTTTGAATACCATAAAGTGTGTGTTGCCCTTTAAAAAAACAAGATGGCGCTGCCGTTTACCGAATCATTATTGTTTTTGTTTATCTCTATTAAAATATAATATTCACACAGGTATATAACAGAGATTAAATAAAAGTAATAATGATTCGGTATTTTGAGATTAAACCAGTTCTTTTTTAAATCCAAAAAGGTTTTTTGAAAATAGCTCCTCATACACCATTATTGTTTATGGCACCATCTTATTCTATGGTAACTCATTTATCAGGTATTTTTAACATTGAATGTCAAAATCTTACATTATAATGTCCCCTACCGATGATAGCGACATTCCTGTGTTTATTTCGAGAAAAAATATGTTTTGAAATGGTAATAAAAAATCATCAAGTAGTTGGCAACACCGATTAATATTTTATGAAGGCAACACATCTTTTTAAACATTCTACCGTTTGGTTTTAAATAAGTTTTTAGTAGATTGACAAATAAATGGATTGTTCTCGAAGTAAACACAAGAAAAAGAGGTTAATTCTAAAAAGCGTTGGACCAATCATTATTGCTAACATTCCCGCTAACCCTACACGTTATATCTTGACACTAATGCATAAATATAGGCTACTATTTACATTCCGACTAACAGTCAATTAGCTATAAGAACTAAGGTCATAAAAAATCAGTTTTGTTCGATTTTTGAGCAAAATATATAAGAAACAAGAGGATTTTAAGACTAAAATCGTGTAGCACATTTTTCTCGAAAGACGACATCGTATACAATTTAAAAATTGTACTAAATTATAATTTCTTCGTTTATACCAATTTGTAATTTGAAAAATGTAACTCGCACCACTTTAGAAAAAAAACACCCTGTAGAACTTGTGAAAAAGTGAACTACGCCTGCCATTGTAAATAAGACTTCAATAACACGACATAGAATACTTTTCCGAGTACATTAAAAAGTAAGTCGTACACTTTCGGTATTTGGTGGTAATAGGGATTAAAGCGGTTTTATACCTTATAGGTTCCGAGCTACTATATTTTTTTTTTGCATTTTTTATTTGCTTTTCCATGTTCTTATAATAGTTTCGAGAGTGTACAACGAACTGACTTGTCTCCCTTCACCCTATAAAATGAAGAAATATTTACTGACTATAAGGCGTGGTCCTGAACTTCTAACTCCTTCCTATCGTGAGCCTAAAATCGTACCAAAACATTTACAAAAAGTAATCGACTATTTTTGTTCAGATTAATACGACAACTGTCAAATCAGGTAGACAAGTAAAAATATGTATAAAAAATAAAATTATATTTTTAAATTAACGGCCAACTCACGATAGTCTGGCAACCCCATTTTAAATGCTATTCTTACGCATAATAGATACATTTAGAAAAAATCTAAAGGACGGACTTTCGAAGTCGACACGACTTTCACGACTAATGCCTTGAGCAAGTGCGATGGCATCTTAATTTCTTTTGAACTTCAAAATAGTTAATGTGACGATTAGGAAGAGGGCGATCCATGCTAGCGTCGAGACGAAGCCCATGTACACTTCAGGGTCGGTGATGGGCCAGCCTCTGGTAAGGATGGACCGTAGCGAGTTGGTCGCGAGAGTAAGCGGTAAGCAGAGCGACACGTATCGCAGCACCCAGGGCATGCCCTCGATGGGCCAGATAACGCCACTGAGCAGTAGCGTCGGGTAGAAGGAGCCGAGAGCAAGCTGGATTGCATTTCGTTCTAGCTCGCAAGCTGCGGATATCACGAAGCCGAAGCACATGCCGCAGAGACCTGAAAATAACATTTTATATTTAAGAAAATACTACAACACAATCATACGAGTAAAGCACACAACATCATACGCAAATGCCCTTTGCTGTACACAAAACAATAAAAGTCTAAATTCGCATCATTAAAAACAATGAAAAAACCTAATTTTGTTTATAGTCTGTGACTAACTTTAATGGTAGCAAAAACTACAAAATACGCTGATGACATTACCGTCATTGTTAGAAGTATTATTAGTCATAAAACAACAATTATAAATATTACAATTATACGTAAATATTAAATGTAGGTAAATATATTTAATGATTGCAAAAAAATTGTAATAACATTAAGTGGTCACACTGGTTATTATATGCAAAATGCTATTATTAAACATATATCATCAGCCTTTGCAAAAAGGTAAAATAAGTTAGAAATAATCTTGAATTATTAGCTAGGTACCTAAGTACGTCGGCAGATTTTTTTAGGTTGGTAGTTTACTTTTTGTAGATTGCGAACGAGCAGGTATATCTTTGTGTTGTTCACAAGATACTATAAGAATCGAAACAGCGATATAACTCACTCAGGTAGGTAATTTACTTCACTTGAAGTGTATCATAGGAAACTTCATTAGTCTATACTAATATATATTTGATTTTTGAACGTATTATCTCTGGAATCACTTGTTCCAATTGAACAATTATTTTTCTGTTGAATAGCTCATTAATCGAGAATACGGGTAAAAGTTTGTAGCTGGTGTTTATTTGTATTAAACAAACTAAGACACAATATAAAGAGATAAAGAACACTCACCCTGCAGCAGAGTCAGCATAATAACAAACACGATGTTTCCATTATTCTTCACTCCGAACACGGATATCATGAAGATAAGCACCAATGCAGTCTGTCCACACATCACCACGAACTGGGTCACCACGTGGGAGAACAGGATCTCACCAGGAGACACGCCAGCCACCCAGGATCGGTCCAGCAAACCTTCCATACGTTCCACGATCAGCGCTGATGATGTTAGGGCGACAGCTAAGAAGAATACGATCCTGGAAAGAAAGAATGAGACGTTAAGAATTTATTTGATAAAGCATGACGTATTTGCTGTTTTTTTGGGGTTTTGTCCCCTTCATAAAAATGTCGTAAACACCATAAGCTCATGGTTTTGCTATTCAATTTTCACCCTAAAAGGTCTTGGCCTAGGCTTTCACCCTAAAAGTACCTACCATGTTCATGAGTCTCGTAAAAAGGTCCTTCGTAACTCTCAACATAAAGTCAGTTCTATTTGTTATACTTTGATGAACTTACGTCAAAATAACTCCTGGCGCGACGAAGTCAGTGAATGAAGGGTTCTTGTTGCCGTAGATAGGGTCCATGAAGTCGATAGGGATGTCACCCAGCTTCGGATTGTATTCACACGTTTGCAGCAAGTCCTGGAATTATATATAGTTAGTTAGTCCATGCAGAAGAATACGTAATGATTCTATTTTGAAGAATTTGATGATGTTCTCTTAGGTCTATATCAACATAACTTTAAGAAGAAATAATTATTTCTTTTATTTAAAGGTTCATTGGTCATTAAGAATTACATACAGGAAGAGAATAAAGAACTCAGACTGAGGAACTCTTTAAGAACAATAGTAACATTTTAATTACTCTTGGAAGAAGATAACATATTTTTGTAGGTTACAAGGTTTTTCTAAACAAATAAACATTCTTACCTTGGCAAAGTCTCTGTATGAGAACTGTATGTCCCTGTTAAGCATGAGACCGATCTGTTGGTTGGACATGTCGAGCCACACTTGGACCTCCGATGACGTGATGGTTTCGTTGTCAGCAGTGTCAGCTGTTGACAAAAATATCATTAAGAAGCTGCTCAGGGAAAAATCACCAAATGACTTCTTCCGCCCAGGGCAAGGCGAAAGAAAGTGTCACTCTTACTGACTAAAAAGCCCCACGTTCTTTCTCCTACTTTAGGCCGAGGCCGCGGTGCTACGTTAGGCCTACCCCGCAACCCCGGCTAGAGCCATAGATAAGGAAGACATTTCCAAAAAAATCGACTTTGCCAAAAACGTTTGTGCCCTATCCGATCTAACTGAACTTCTTCATGAACTTTTTTGGAAATACCTACCACACTGCGGATATCGTGGCTTCTTCTAGCAGTAGAGACTTTTCCACTAAGTTAACTTAGATACTTTTCTTCTTTTAATAGATAAAGTTTAAGAAGAAACTCACCCAGAGCCAGTCTTGCAACAAGAGAGTCAGTGTAATTCTCGTTGAAGTATAGCGCTCCCCATGCCTCCCCGTCCTCGACAGCTTTCAGGGCATCCGTCAGGTTTGCATAATACTCCTTTATCGTATGATTATTCAAATTATCCAGGTATCGACATGATAAGTTCTTCATGGAGCAGGACGAGTTATAAGGACAGTAACCATCGATGATGCGGACGTCGTCGTTTACAATAGCCTGAAAGAAGAAAAAGACAAATTTGTCAATATTCATTCAATAAACTGCAGTTTTGGTTCGTTTAAAAAAGCCACTAAAGAACTTTATTTTGAATGTGACAGAGTTTATTCTCGGTGCACAACTGAACAATCAAATTATGGCAACAAATCTTTATAAATTAGAACGAAAAGGGCTCTCATTTGAGCTTCATCTTTAGCTGCTGAACTATCATGATCTTTGATTAAGGGTATAATGGAATTGAAGAGCAGAATATACAATTATGACTATATGTGTAATGACATTAACTTTTCGAAGACTGTCAGATAATAGATGCTGTTGTTGAAAATACTAACCAGCTTAAGTCCACTAGGATCCCTTCCGATAGCCAGACAGAACAGAATAACTTGCATCACAGGTAACACGAAGATGAACAGCATCACACCAATGTTTCTCCACATTCTAAGGAAGTTCTTCTGGATCAACGCCTTTATCTTTCCGCGAGAAGTAAACTGGAGGACAGAAGAATAACATAATGTAGATTCTTTTAGGAAATTAGGTTCTACTGATGGGTATTTATTCAATAAAACAAAAAATATTGGGCAGAAAATATGGTTACTTATTAAAATTGCTAATACCATGTAGCGCAATAGTATAAAACAAAGTCGCTTTATCTGTAGGCTTAAATCTTGAAAACAACGCAACGGATTTTGATGGGGTTTTTTAAATAGGTAGAGTGATATATGAGGAAGGTTTATATGTATAATAACATCCAATAAACAGTGAATAAATTTAGTATAAGCATTGCACCCGTCACCCGTGTGAAGCTAGAGTGGGTCGCTAGTTCTTTATAATTGAGAACCTATCCTGATGTCAAGTTGGAAGGTTTATATCAATGTCGGTATACTTACGTTTAGACAGTCTCCGCAGTCATCACAGTCAGGTGTAACATCAGTTACTTTGCCAGGGATCTGGAATATCATGAGAAAGCTATGTGAGTTCTAGTTCTAACCGTCAATATTAAGTATTCGTTTTATTAACATGTGAATAGTGTTTCTTAAATAACTAGAAACTGGTCGATTGTACCTATTTGTACAAAAGTTTTCCAATTATTACAAAACCCAATTTTAACAACGAATCAAATTCATACTACTAATTCTTTCTTCAACTAAAAATGAAGGGATACTCACATCGCCATTCGAGCCTGCACCATGGTCTACGATGAGCACTTCCTTGCTTTGATGGAACACCAGGCCTACGACTTGAGCATCCTCGGCCGCGTAAGGAGCCTCCTCTCTCTTGGACATTTTGTTTAGCCCTAGGGCTCCTCCGGTTACATTCAGCTCAACAACTTGGTTGGCCTGGCCTGGAAGAGAAACGTTTTGTTGTGTATGTTGATCCACTGAAAGGAAGAAGGTTTTTGTTTAGTGTATGATAGGATAGTGGGATGGTAGCAGTGTTTGGGCGTTTGGGTGTCAGATCAAAGATATAAAGAGTTCTTTAAGAGTTGACAAGTGAAAAGTTAAAGCAGCCAGATAGAAAAAGAATAATAGATATACTTATAATAAAGAGTTTGTTTTGTACAGTGTAGAAACGGATAAAAAAGAACAGTTGTTTAAAAAATAATTCATCATAATTTTACGCTAAGCTTCTACAGGCTTTGTTAAAGATGGATGCAAACCGCTCCATCTCCATGTAAAATACAATATGTTCAAATCAGATTATTTGATACTCAGTGACACCAGCTTAGCGCAGTTATAGAGACTTGATAATTGGTATGGTGGCTGGACCACTTGTCGCGGAACAACTCTTTGTGTGATCCACGAATTGTTGTTGCGAGTCTGGGTGTGATGTGTATGTGGAAATTGTATGTTTGTAAACACACCACCATTACAGGAGACAATCTCAATGTGGATCAACGTTTTTAAGAAAACAAAAACAATCATAGTAAGAGCTATTTAGACAATGTTCAAATTAACACATAACGTTCTGGTATGCAAAATGTTCTATCAACATTGCAATGTTGTTTTTGTAGGAAGAAAATGTTTATCACAAGCAATGAGGTTGAAAGAAAAACACATGTATTTCTTTGTGGCTTCGACGGAGAGAGTTCATCACGTGATGGCGCATGGCGTGACGCTCGAACACGTGCAATTAAATAATGAATGTTATTCCTACTTCGTTTAGTACATTAGTCGACGCATACTAGTTCTACAGCTCGTGTCAAGTCCATGAGATGTTTTATATTTATTTTCCTATAAGAAATAATGATTCCAAAAGTTCCGTTTGTTTTCGGCTATCATTATTTAAAACTATGCGCAAATCATATTATTATGTTTGAAAGAATTAGTGAATATGGTGAAAGTAGGTTTATAATAAAAACTCATACTAGAAATTGTACCTACACCCATTTTCTCATTACAAAAAGGGCTACCTTTTACTTGGCTTTACGTTTTTACGTTAACACAATCGAAATTTTACCGCGTTCAGACCTCTGATTGGTTGCTTTACTTAAAGCCAGCCAATCAGTGTACAGACAGTCATAAACGCGTCGATCACAACAATGTTATTTATGTTAACTCATACTGGATACTGTCTGTGTGGGAGAGCCATGCTTCGGTACGAATGGCTCGACTCGACCGTAGTGATACCACGGCCACACAGATACCCGGCGTGAAACAACACAACACAACACAGCGTTGTGTTTCGCCGTGTGAGTGAGGTTACCGGAGGCCCAATCCTTCCCCTCCCTCAATCCCTAAATCTCCAAATCCCTAATTCCTAAAAGGTCGGCAACGCACTCGTAACTCCTCTGATGCGGGTGTCCATGGACGGCGCTGATTGCTTTCCATCAGGTAATCTGCTGGATTGCCTATCTATTACATAAAAAAATTTTTTTTGATATCATTATCTATATCAGATATACCTACCAGCTGCAAACATAGACGCAAATCCCAATAATAATGAACCATATGCTCACAGCATTTCACAATTTTATTATAATCATTATTAATTAGCATCATTAGACAATGCAATGAACAAGTCCAAACAATGGTGCAACAACCTTGACTTAACAATTTTCCACTGACACGAGTACCCGGTACAAAGACTACGCAACAAATCGTTGCGACTTAATTATTGCCTTCGAGATGTGAGCTAATCCCTCTCGCGATGTAATGGGAGTCACGCCATTTTTTCGAAGTCATTTGGTCTAGTAAACAACTGCTGGTCCACTTAGGGGTATTGTGTAACTGTGTGTGTGATACGAAATTAATTCATATTCGCTTATTGCCCGTTACTTCGCTTGAGGTAATGAAATCTTTAAAGTAAATAGACAATATAACTGGACTTTTGCAGGTCAAAATTACATGTAAAAAGACTAGATGAAGCTCATTTTCTATCTGACTAACCCGGTTTCTGAAAGGCTTGTCAACGCCAAAATTAACTAATCTCCTGTTAAATCTCTTGTCAAGAATTATCAACAATCAATCAGATTACTTGACAAGAGATTAAATTGATTTTAACATTGATCGGCCTTTCGGAAACCGGGAGTAAGACTCTGAAAAGAAATGCCGAAACAAACTCAGACGACCGTCTTTTATAAAGTCCAGACAATGTGAAAAATAATTCAATGTGTGAGAACCGTGCGAGTTATTCTGTTGTGGTCTTTTGAGGAAAGAACCATACGTTTAAGTGGACCTGTTCTAAATGTTCACGCTTCGGTACATTCTTCCATAAATATTACTAAATTCGTGGTGAAAATCACCCAGAAACATGTTCATTATTGAATTCATAAAATTAATTTCCTTTTTCCGAACTTGTCTTAAGTTACATAATTCCAATACCTAACGTCCTTGAAGTACCTATATTTATCTAGTCAAGTATTGAAGTTAGCATACCTAGAAACACACTGAATACATACTAAGGTAACTACAATAATTATGTCAACAATATCATATACATATTTAGGTACCCCGGAAAATAAAAGAAAATGTTAATAGGTCTAACACAATTCCTGGTAAGGTGACTAAGTTCTTTAGTACTGAGTTAATGTTAGGTTTTTTGTATTTAAATACATCATCAATAACTCGCTTATATGTTTATTATGGTAAGACTAATGGCGCCGCAATATTAGCCAATGACAGCTCTATTCATTGCCGCACACTCGCGGACGACTGAATAACCAATAGGTATCCGCCAAAATAATTCATTGCTTGTCAACACTTTTTAAGTATGTATAACTATTTGTTTACCTTCCCTTGGTAGTAAAGAACACAACAAAAAAAGAATTGGCAAAAATCGTCTAGGCGTTTTTGAGTTATGCACTTAAACACATTTTGTGATTCATTCTTATAAAATAAAATAACCCATTAATGTAAGTAAAGAGTATTAAGAGTTGAGAATTTTGTATAGGTACCACGTGTCTGTAAACCATATTTTTAGAATTATTGTAATACAATGTTCTTATTCACTTTTATTGATTGAAACGCATCACAAACAGTTTTGAAAGAAATTTATAGCTCAAAAGGCCCAATTTGAAGTTAGATATAACAATAAATTAGTGATGCCAAAAGTTATCCATCGACTCAAGAAAACGTCTCCCTACATTTAATAATGATTTCACATTGACACATCAATTACTAGGAAAGAGATCTACTCAATAAATAAAAACGTATAAATTGTGTAAACCTTATGAATAATTCTTAGGACCTTGACAGCGCACCTTTGACCCATTGCCTAGGAGATGAGTAAGTAAATAAAACAGTTTATGTCGAAAATAATTGACTGAACAATAGTTGTGCTATTTACGAGCGGACCTTGCATTGTGAATCTGTTTCGTAAGGCCGCACCGACACGCAACTTGTTGGCGATACTCGGCCAACGGCTAGGGATGTGCGTGCAAACTGCAAAGGCCGAATATTCGGTTGCGGAACCCAGCGTTTGTGAGCAAAATTTCACTGGTTGCTTGTACGTTTTTTATGTGATAGAATGGCAAACGAGCTGACGGATAACCTGATTGTAAGCAATCAGCCCCGCCAATTGACAGGCGCTAAAATATAGGAATAACGAGTGAGTTGCTGATCTTTTTGGTATTCGGGTTTTGAGGATTTACGGATTTTTTTGGCTGTCCACATACATTTACCCGAGTTCGTGTCGAAGCTTGGCTTTTCCATACTTATGTTTAAGTAGGTAAATGAGTAAAAAAATAGAAGAATAGTTAACGACGTAATAAGACGCCTTTGCAAGAGCTGTAAATAAAGGACGCTAGACGATAGTTTTATTTTAAACGTTTTGAATAAAAACGGAAAATACTATTGATTTGTCCGCCGGATATTTTCGCGTTTCTTTTTTTATTTCATACTTATTACAGCATCTGTGGTTGTTATCAGGCTCATCAAGTTTAGTTTCACAAAATTCTTCATTTAAGCGTCGCATTTAAATAATAGTTTTCAGATTAAAATATCTGGCCGAAGATACCTAAATGTTGAATACAGAAGACAGCCCATCTGTATTCCAAGTATTTTCTAGCAAAGAAATAATGTTGCAATAACAACACAAATATTCCTAGAATTTACATAAAAATATCTAGATTGCGAAAATAATTGGTTTGGTTTTGAAACTTTCTTGAGTTTTTGATTTATGATTACTTACATAAAAATGTTGTTCAATAAAGAATTTTACTGTTTGGCCAGACTTCTATACGAGTTCACATGTTAAATGACCTTGGTGACAAGAGACATAAACATGGCATGACTACGACAAAATATGTATGAGGTCAACGTTAATTAAAAATCTGCAGAAATTATTTAATTAATTGCCATTGCCACAAATTACCCATAAAAGATAGCTAGCTGGCTCGTATCGAAATAATTTAAGAAAGCATATATCGGTAAATGTGACTTGGGCCCTTGCTAAGCTTGTTATTAAAGTACCTCTTAATCTCATGTTAACTATGGTTTTATGAGAAGGTCTTTATCACACCGACAATGACGGTTCATTCAATAAACCCTTCTGTGTACCTGATATATCTATAAACTAGCGTTTGCCCGCGACTCCGTTCGCGTGGTATAGTGAGTTTCTGCAGATTTTTGGTATAAAAACTATCCTATGTCCTTTCTCGAGATCCAAACTATGTCTGTACCAAATTTCACAGAAAGCGGTTCAGTAGTTTAGGCGTGAAGAAAAGACAGACTGACAGACAGAGTTACTTTCGCATTTATAATATTAGTATATAGATACAGATTAAATAGCGACACGCCCCTTACTCGTCAATCACTCAATCTATTAAAATAACCGCATCAAAATCCGTAGCATAGTTTTAAAGGTTTAAGCATACATAGGGACAGAGAAAGCGACTTTGTTTTATATATATATATATATTATGTAGGCTAATGACGTGATATTATTACATTACCTATAGGTATACTTAAGTAACAATATCTAATATTAGGTAAGTTATACAACTCATGTTTTGGACTTAAAATTATGTTCGTAACTCAAGCAGGTGATTAAAATGGTCATTAATATTTTACGATCCACTCATAACAGTTCACTTGGTTATAAACGGCTTTTATTTAAATTGAGAAACAGATGGGTGAAGATTATTTTGCAATAAGGCAATTTGACAGTTTGGGATAAGTACCTATATATATTGTCAATAAATATATCTTTATAATGAGTGTAATATCAAGGCTTTTTTTTCTTATAATATTAGGTATATTGAATGTAACCAAGAAATTCCATTTTTCATCTAATACCTAAAATTAAATTTGTGTTATGATCGTTTAAGAGTTTCATAAGAATGAAAAGGAATGATAAAAAGTGAGTACTGCATTCGAATGGAACTACGTATCCTATTACAAAATCAAAGAATAAGTGCCCACTGCTAAGCAAAGGCCTCTTCTCACACGAAAAAAAGTCCAGGTTTCCTTACTACGTTTTCCTTCACCGGTTTTCAGTTGTGTCTAAATAAACAAAGAACGTAAATATTACTTGGAAAAAGTTACATTGGTACTTGACTTAAGGTGACATGACATGAGAAGCTGCCGCCTTAAACTCCGATAAATTTTGAAAAAAAAATCATTGAATGGTAAAACACTAACATTTTACAAGATGGCGATAAAAGATTATGAAATTATATCGAACAGTAAACACATGTTAAAATAGTATAGTGCACATAATGCCATAATATTTTACTACGCGATATTGTTTATGTGCGCAAACGCATGTGCAACGCACGGCGTTGATAGTTTTCCGTACTGAAATACCGGATTTTCACCTCAAATCACACACACAAATGGAGAAGAACGAGAAAGAAACTCCATCGTTACTCTTTTAAAAAAAATATTTGTTTTACAATTCACCAATAATACATTTTATACATTACTGTACCTACCCCTCTGGAGAACAATGCAGAGACAAGTTGTTAATAAAAAGGAACAAATGATGGTCTATCTAATCTATCATTAAAATTTTAATCCTTTGTTGTCTGGAACATGGCGCTCACATATGCGTACTCACAATCCAAAAGAATGCTTCTATATAAACTCATTCAAGGTTTCATTAATTTTGAGAATTTCAATAACTACTGACTACATATTTGAGAATTGTCCAGTGGAGCCGAACCAACATGCTGCCAGGCATTCTTGTCCTCAATATAATCTGAAAGTTTGTAGTATGCCTGTCTACATAATTCGCGTTTAATATAAGTTTTAAATTTTCGTTCATTAAGATTTAATACACTTCTTGGAATTTTATTGTAACAATTCCTCATCGTCACTACTCAGCCGATCGTATTCATGGGCGGTGCCGATCGCTTACCATTAAGTCCAGCCCGATCGATTGCCTCCTTTTCCATAAAAAAAAACTCGTGACTAGTTTCAGACGATCAGATTCTCTTTAATAATCATCAAATGACTACTCTCCCTCAAGGTAAGGCGAGAGGGAGTGTCAGACTCTTTCTGACTAAAAACCAGTCCGTTCTCCTGCTCCGAGCTGGACAATCAGACTAACAACCGATTTAAGGAAGGCATAAAAGACAAAAGAAAAGTATATAACCATGGAGTTTCTTGCTCGTTTTTCTCCATAGGTATCTACACTTTAGAACGAGGTAATAGCTTCATTAGAGGACTGAACGACATCATTTGCATTAGAAGTGCCCATAATGGTTTTAATTAAAATATTTTATTTTACTTAGAAACTAGAAGTAAGAGTTAAAATAAAATATAGATACCTAATATTTTAACTCTTAGTGATGGCAATTTCATAATATTGAATCATAGTTGATATAACTGAGTCTTCAACCGTCTAGGTCAGGTTTTAGGTATAATTTTATTAAGTTCTAGCTGACCCGACAAACTTCGTACCACCTCAAATATAACTATTGTTCTGACTTTTCAAACCTTAACTGGATTTCAACGAACATTAAGATCAAAGTTATCAAAAATAGACCAGCAGTTCTCGAGATTTTGCTTGACTTACGAACATCAATTAATTTTTATATATAAAATGAAGATTTAGGGCATAACTAAAGATAAAGATAAAATATTCTAAATTTTTTTTTTTATTTTAAGCTATAGCTATAACAAAAATATATCTTTGGTAGTTCACAAAGATCAACGGCCTGGCCAATGAATTGTTATAAAGTTTTATCTAAACAATGTCCAACTAAGGCTGAGTTCTCACCGGCTGCTCATATAAACATTTGCGAGGATATCGTGTGAACACGGCTCTATTGTTATCCCTATACCATTCAATTGACTATTTCCCCGCGTTCTTCGGATGAGAATCGGAATGTATAAATGTTATTAGTATGACTCCAAAATTAAGTCTTATAGATTTTGGATTAGGGTGTTGATTCAAGTGCAGTGAACTATTTTGGTTGAATGTCCGATTATCGATGGTGAGATAATCATTGTTCATTTGTTGTCAAAATTATGTTTTGGAATTAGTACCTAACTATTTTCATTTTAGGTACCGTAAAACTGTATGTATATCGAGAGGTGAAGTACAGGACAGAAAAAGGCGTTAATTAGGGTGAGTTGCACCGTTTAACTTTAACCAAACCATAACCATAGGAAGCCATGAAACGGCCTCCTATTGGTCAGTTCGACGATTTGACAGCTGATAACGGCTATGTTATCGTTAAAGTTAAATGGTGCAACTCACCCTTAATGTTGTTTTTTTTCGATATTTATCAATCCCTAGATTACTATTCACTCCGTTTCTCCTTTACACAGTTAATAGCAGAGATATACATCTTACTAATATTATAAAGGCGAAAGTGCCGATGTTTGAATGTTTGTTTATCAATCACGCCAAAACCGCTGGACGGATCTGGATGAAATTTGGCACACTTTACTTTTTATCAACATACCACGTGGGCTAAGCCGCGGGCGGAAGCTCCCGAAATATGTATTTCAAAACATTATAAGCGTATACTGAATCATATATATATATTTGCTGATAGACCACCCAGTAACCGGATATAATTCTCAACAAAAACACAGATCATTTTGATATTTATACCAGAACGTTGAGAGCGTTTAAATGAACAAGTTCTAATATAAAACCTTAATTTGAATACATTAAAAATTGTTTAACCTTTAATAAAGACGCTATTCCCATATACGAGGGGAAAAGTTTTTATACAATAAGGAGCAGATGGATCACTTGACGATAATAAGTGATCAGCGCTGCCTATGCCCCCTCCGTAACTCAAGAGGACTTACAAGAGACTGAAAAGAGGTCAAATGTCTTACCTTGCTTCCTAGACAGTTTGAGGAAGACATCTTCAAGAGATATGCAGCTGTACATCTGCAGTAACGCCTGAGGTGACTCCTCAGCCAAAAGGCGACCGCTTCGCATCAGACCAATCTGGAATAAGTTACAAATTGTTAATGTGATAATTATTTGGAGTGAAGTGCTCCAAATATCCCCAACAGAACTCTTTCCTAAGTTGGAGTCAGGAGTTACTGTAGTAAACTATTCTGTTTCAAACAGCCATAGGACAGACAGTGACATCTGGGCTGTTGAGCCAGAGTTGCGGGACTAAACCCAATTATGTACCGCGGCGTCGGCCTTTAAGCAAGAGAAGGAACGGGGTGATTTTTAGTCGAGTGAAGTAATTTGACGATTTGCCCCCTTCAAAAACAAACAGCTATTGGAGTTATGTCTAGGTTGATCTTAGACCAAAAGAGAACGGTGTTGGACGACCGGAAACGACGGTAACGGTCAATTAAAATAATACATTGTTTTTAGTATTTTTGTAAATATAAGTTATTTACAAATATACAAAAATCCTCGATCCCCGGCACGAAGAGAGTTACAGTTTTAGATTAATTTTGCTTTTAGATAGAGAAAAGTGGTTGGCAGTCGTTGAGACAGGGACTTACCTATGTTTTTAGAGCGGTTTATACAATAGGCAAAAATAAGTTAATTACAATAATTATGTATTTTTAATTCCTACTCATTAATGAGCGAACTCATTGCGAATGTATGTACCTACCTAATTTTTATATGTATTTAATTACGAATTATTATATTTTTCTCACAGCTTCAAATAAGATAATGATGTCGAATAATTTTTGATGGTTTTGTAAAAACATTGGTAAAAATTTCATTGCGTTTTGGTAGCTACTAACTACTACCTTCATTAGTGGTTGCGGTCGAATTGTTCTTTGAACTTGCCGTTCTTGAACGTCACGGCTATATTAACTGATTGCGAAGTTTCACAAAAGACTGTGGCCTTTTTGTCATTTTGTTTACCCGATTGGGTGTGAAAGTAGTTTCAAATGTCATAATTTTAAGGTGTAATGAACACCATTCGTTTGGGAGAGTCATTTTTCTGTTCGAAAAGAATAAAGAATTACTTGCGCCTTTCTTGCGCCGAATCTGGAAACCTAATTCGGAAAACTAACATTGTCGGGTTTATTTTTTTTGTGAGGGGAAAATCATCAAATGACTTCTCCCGCCCAGGGCCGGGCGGGAGGGAGTGTCAGACTCTTACTGACTAAAAACCCCCCTGTTCCTTCTCCTGCTCTGGGCCGAGGTCGCGGTGCCTCATTGCGCTTACCCCGCAACCCCGGCTGAACATCAGCTCTATAGGGCCCCGTCTGTGGTGGTCTATTGGCTCTTTGAGGCGCGCGCGGAACGCTACGCGCCGTACGCTCGGGCCTGGTTCTAGTCGGGCGGCGAGCTGCCCTTACTCGCCGACCGCAAGCCCGTGCTTACGGTGGCCGGAGATCCTCCCTTGATCCCCGACGCCCGTAGTGTCGCCAGTTGCGGCGGCTGGGGCGTGAGGAGGAGGATTGCTCCCTCACGAGGGAACATTGTCGGGTGGAACTTAGTTTGGACTGAACAGTTATATGTTGGTATTTTTTTGATTTAATCTATTTATACCAGTTATTTACAAAGGTTTTACAGTTAGCAAGGGGTCCATCTCAGTAGTCAGTATATGCTGTGCTAATGCACAACACTGATTTTCACATGGACCTGATTCCTGACTATTGGAGTAACAAACACATCTGCGCGATTCTTTATAGAAATCTAAATGAGTCTTTTGCCATCCCAACAATGGATATAACAAAGTATATTCGACCAAGAACTGGCTTATTAGCTTTGCGGCTCTTTTCCCCCTAAAACGACAATAGTTCGAGTTTATTAGCATATACCAATGCATGTGACAGCAAACAATTTAAAAAAAAGCTTTACAATACAAACTCTTTTCGTAACCATGTAGGTTTGTATTCTTCTTAATATTTTTTTCTTCTAATAGTTATATGTATTCGAAATTATGTATAAATATACATACATAGTATGCTAATGACATATAGTTAGTCGTGGAAACCAGTGAGCCTTGATTCGTTAGTTTTTATACGAAAACAAGTATCTTCAAGGAAACAACATTCCGGAAACATTAAGAGGCTTCTCAAATTATATTTTAAGTGTTATAACATCGTTTTATATGTTTTTCTAGAAAGGGACTGGACTTTAAGTCCCTGTATTTAGGAGTTTGTATTACATGCAAGCGAAGACTTCATGCTACTTTTTAGAGTTAGCGAATTATAAAAAAAATTTAACTTTTAATAAACTTATATGGGTATACCTTTCTCTTTCATCACAAGTAAGGCGTTTCTATCCTGTTTGCTGACTACTATGACTAGGTTTTGTAAGTAAGTCAGTTACAGAAATGTTTCATATTCAAATTCTCAGTAATTGTACGAAGTAGCGCTGTTATAATATCTTAATTTATGGAAAAAGTATTGTTAAGTATAACCATAACCAACCGAACCTTACTTTTTTTTTCTTGAATGCAACTGAGACTCCAATTCTTGGTGATTTCGAAACGTCAAAATAGAATAGTCTATCAGTCGGTTCGTCAGTGAAGCTAGGTAGATAGTAAAGGTTTAACGACACCAAACTAGCGATAAAATTCTCCATCATTTAGGATCAGTATCCTCATAAAGGAACCTCTAACCTGCTACACAAAAAGGCTGGCTCAATCTCTAGATATTTATGTTTATATATTATATGTTCCATTCATCAAGATACGAGTCAATGCCAATCAAAGACCTTCAAGGAAGATTACCTTACCATTTTATACAAAATTTGCAAGTTTTTGCCATTACTGTCATCAGCTATAGATGACAACGAAAACGTTTTTATTCCTACAGTCATTTATTGCTATTTACTTCTTTTAATACTTTCTGATAAATGACACTTTTTTGTGACGAGAGAATCATCAAATGACTTCGGAAGGTAAAGTTAGACCTTTTAAGTCAAAAAAGGCAAAAGTCAAAAATCTTTTTTTATTTCAATTAGGCCACAGTGGGCCTTATCTTACTGACTAAAACTTCCCCCCCTTTCCTTCTCCTGCTTAAGGCCGAGGCCGCGGTGCCTTATTGCGCTTATCCCGCATCCCCGGCTGAACATCAGCCGTCCGTATAGGGCGCCGTCCGTAGAATATTGGTTCATTGAGGCGCGCGCCTGGATGGTTCTGGTCGGGCTAAATGAGTGTCAGTCTCCTACTCATAAAAACCGCTCGTTCCTTTTCCTACTTCAGGCCCAGGCCGCTATATATTATTGTGCTTACCCTGAAACCCCACCCAACATAACCATCCTTAAAAAATAAAAAATTATACTCACACAATGAGCCTGTCTTGCTTCTTCGATATAATGTGTGGTAATGATGACGGTTTTGTCACCAGAGCTGGTGATGCGGACTAGATGCGTCCAGATGGACTGACGCAGCAGTGGGTCCACTCCGACTGTCGGCTCGTCAAGGATCAGCAGCTCAGGGTCATGCATAAGCGCCACGGCGAATGATACACGACGTTGTTGTCCACCACTGTGGGAGAATAATAATATTGTCATTATTTTATTGAATTTATTTGATTTAGGGTTGAGTTTTCAATAGCCAGATATTATATAGAATGTTATCGGTGGAATAAAATTGTTGCTGTCACTGTCTTATACAAACGTCTGACGCGACAGCCTCATTATTATACACCGGCTAACTTTTTTAACCATTGAAAAATCAGCCCTTAATGTAGTTGATTTACTGTTTAACTAGCTCTTTCTGCTGACTACTTTTCCACGCATTCAAGTAGTAGTAATATCATCACATATCATACTAGTTATTCATCATAATCATCATCAGCCTGACTCCGTCCATTGCTGGACAAAGGCTTCTCCAATTGCTCACTTGTTAATAATCTATCTGAATAATTCTCCAGCTTTCTTACTAAGTCCAGACTTACAGCTCATACTTTTAAAACGATACGTTTTGACGTGACAGAAAAACGAACAAACACATTTTGATATTATTATACATATAGTGAAGTTGAGAGAATTTGCAATTATACGATCATGATTTGATTTTTGTCGGGTATAAGATATAGTGCTTTAATTAGACACAATAAGAACTATGTATTATTAAGTTGTTGATATTTAAAACATAAAACCTTTGATTCACCTGGATTAACATTTAAAATACTTTAGATGACAACACAAACAAAGTCAAAAACATTTATGTATTTTAATTTAAATATAATATTCTAGGTAGGTAGTTTTGTCACATCAATATAGAGTAATAATCCGTCAGTCTGTGCGCAAAGAACCTAGGTGCTAACCCCGATATTAATACAAAATAGTACATAGTTTATGACGAACCTCGGAATATTCTAGACAATGAAACACCATCAGTTACACAACCAGCGACTCGATCGTAACACCTTATTCAATCGATTCATTTCACCGTTATCTCTAGAAATAATCGATTTCATTCATCTCTGAGTCGCCACGGGGTATCTACGCATAACGCATTCTGTCACGCACCACTGACATAGATTGGGGATTTGGTAGTTGCTTCTACAGAAAGGTTTTCACTAATCACAGGTACACAAATAAAATGTATCTAACATTCGCTTTTGACGAGTAAATTGAGGCAAAATTATTGACAAAGGTATATTTATAAAAGAAACTAAGTACTGATGTTTATGACGCTTTGCGTGAACCTATCTACATGTATATGGTGATTTCATTGTTATACATATTTATATCAATTCTTCAATTATCAATTATACTTATTTTGGTGTCGGTGTATGTATATGTTTGACGCTGACTGTACAAGGGTAAAAATCAAAGTAATCAATGTGGTATTCCAGACCTATCTATGTGTCAAAATAGATAGAAGAGGACCGTCTAGATGAGTTCAACAGTTGTTATATGAATGAGTAACAAACATCCGTCCAGACATAAAAACTTTTGCATTTATAATATTAGCAGGATTTTTCGTTATTAAACCTAAACTTAATTCTTTAGGCATAAAATTAGTTTAGGCTTTTCGTCTTACATCACAGAGACAACAAAAGTATCTCTACATATAACAAGGATATAAAATTAACGAGTAAATAATTACTACATATAAGCAAAATGTCGATCAATTAATCTTACTTGTAACAAACAAACGAACAACGAGCATCTATTGTATTATTACATAAGTACTAACAATAAGAGGCCCGCTTTCGCTAGTATGCTCTGCTCGAAAACTATGCTTTTGAAAGGTGAAATTTCACGTGGTTTCATACTGTTTCACATCACTATGATATAGTTTCATGCTGGGTAAATGTATGGTAGAATCGTTGGCTGATTGCAATTGGATGGAGGGAAGTAATATTGGACTCTTTTTCTATTTACAAAACTGTTCGGAAACTAACAAGTACTAAAGTGAATGTGACCTGCTCCGAGTTTTTTAAGTTCTTTGTAAAATTACATATAGACAGTGAAAGACAGTGGAAAAAAATAATTGCGCCGAAAAGCGAAAAGATGGACATATTTTCTTCTAATTATGTTTGAAATTGCTACCAACACGCTCAGAAGAGGCATTTAAGCAGTGGGGGACACCCGCAACACCAGAGGAGTTACAAGTGCGTTGCCAGCCTTTTCGGGATAAGGGTTTCAGATATTTAGGGATTGGAGGAGGTAGAGAAGGCTTGGGCCTCCGGCAACCTCAATTACACGGCGAAACACAACGCCGGTTTTCTTTAAGTTCGTGGTATCACTCCGGTTGAGCCAACATACTTGCCGTAGAATGGCCCTTCCACACTTAACTCTCTTTGTTAAATGTAGTATTAAAGACATCTGACTCCCACGAGAAGAGAAGCGGTAGTAATAAATTGTACTCTGCAACCACACAGCTTAATGACAACAGCACTTATCTTAGTCATAAAAAAAGTGACCGATCAAGTACTTGTTGAACTTTTGCTGTATTTTTTTTTTTCACTCCTCTATTGGTTTTTCCAATTCATTGATAGGTAGCAATGAATTTAGAACTGTGAATAGATGTTTTATATAGAAGACTGTGGGTCAAGCAACGGTTTAGTAGAATACTTCTAACTCCCGTTAAACACTTTAGATATCGTAAATAAACTGAGTTCCTTGTGATAATTATTCTCTCTTTTAGCTCTTTTCTATAGTTTTATACCAAAAAGGCAAAAGACTGTTCGAAAGCTACTCATATATACTTACATGAACACAGTAAGTATCACTTCTTAAGTAAATAAGCGTGAAATTATCCCGGCGTGAAACAAGCCTATGAGTTTTTATTGCTGATCTATCGCCTTCGCCTAAGAAAGAGCAAAAAAAAAGTTTGTCAAGATTTCCACGCTGGCCAGGTGAGTCAGAGATCGCAGTTTTGAAAGGTTTATAAAAGAGCGCTAATGCCTGGACATCGTCAAGTATTCTACATACAATCTACGATCCCCATTGACACCTATTTTTTTAAAGAAGAAAAAGGAAGGAATATGTTAGGAATAAGAGGCACACGAACATTTTCGCCTGATGGGAAGTATTCAGCATCGCCCATCGACACCCGCAACCCCAGAGAAGAGATTGGGCAGGGATAGGGGAGGGGGAGGGATTGGATCTCCGGTAACCTCACTCACACGGCGAAACACAACGCTGTGGTTGTTTCACGACAGTTGTGTGTGAGGCCGTGGTATCACTCCGGTCGCACACATTCTCATACAGAACTATGATCAAATTAAACAGAGATTCACAATACTATAGTCTATAATACAATAAGCAGTCAACCACAAAAGTAGCAATTACCTACATGTACTAGGTATTACAAAAAACAAAGAACAAATTATACACAGTAGTCCACACAAATAATTCAATTTTACGACAAACTAAAGCCGCCATTGTTACCAAAACGTCACGCGTTCAAACATATAATTGGCGTGACAAAATACATCTGTCACGCTAGGAGGTACGTTAACGCATTTGTTTACGTTTACAATGCATTATTGTTTAGTTAGCGTTTGAACTTTAACTAATTAGTGTGGGAAAATTGTTAAGTGACTTCTTGTAGTTGCTTATAGCTTCGGGTGATGAGCTTCTAATTATTTATAAGTGGAAAGGTTCATACATAAATATTTTATTATTATATATTAGCTTTTTCCCGCGACTTTGTTCGCGTGGAATAGTGACTTCCTGCAGATTTTTGGTTAAAAACTATCCTATGTCCTTTCCAAACTATGACTTTATGACTATATGACTCGATATATTTCCAAAACATCGAGTTCCAAACTATATCTGTATCAAATTTCACACAAATAGGTTCAGTAGTTTAGGCGTGAGGAAGAGACAGACAGTCAGACAGAGTTACTTTCGCATTTATAATATTAGTATAGATATAGATATTAATACTTTATGTTTTTACCTTAATAGTTCTGTTACTTAAGCTTGGTTTTGCACGCTACTTGTCTAGACAAAGCTGAAATCTTTGTCTGTTTCAAAACGTTAATCTCCGAAACCAATGGTTCGAACTTAACAAACTTTTTGTGCTGGATCGTTCATTTATCAAGTAAGGCTGTGAAACATTACGCTAAAACGAAATGTAGCCGCACTGCGAGTAAAACAGCAGAGAAGTAGCTAGTTATATTTTATGTTATACTAGCTACTTTCACCCGCTGCTCGGCTCCATTTAATCGTAGCGTGATGTTTTATAGCCTATAACACTCAGGAACATTGTAGCTATCTATCAGTGAAAGAATTTTAGCAATCAGACCAGCGGTTCCAAAGATTACCCCCTACATACAACCTTACAAATTTTACCTCTTTATAATATTAGTATAAACTAGCTTTTGCCGGCAACTCCGTTCGCGTGGAATCGAGAGACACAGACAGACAGACAGAGTAACTTTCGCATTTATAATATTAGTTTGGATGTACCTAGTTATATTACTTCTCTATAATAAATTATATCAATCAATATCAAAAAAACAATTGAATTGTAATAATTCATTGATTTTTATGTCACAAATGACATAAGAATGTAAAAACATTAAACCTATAAACAAAATGTAATAAGTAATTAAATTCTTACTCGTACACAAGATGTAATAACCTAGGATTTAACGACACACAGTAAATAGTTACTGAAGTGCGTAAAACAGTATTATTGTAAAACAATCACATAACTATTTAAGTGTGGGAGAGCCATGCTTCGGCACGAATGGGTCGGCTCGACCGGAGTGATACCACGGCCTCACAGAAAACCGGCGTGAAACAACCACAGCGTTGTGTTTCGCCGTGTGAGTAAGGTTACCGGAGGCCCAATCCTTCCTCTCCCCCGATCCCCTAATCTCCAATCCCTTAATCTCCAAAACCCTAATCCCTAAGAGGTCGGCAACGCACTCGTAACTCCTCCGTTGCAGGCGATTGCTTACCATTAGGTAATCCGTCTGCTCGTTTGCCGATCTATTACATTACAAAAAATGATTATTCCTGCACTTGTTTAACTAATTTGCTATCAACATCAGCATAGTATAATTGCCCACTGCAGTGGGGTCCCCATCGGGACCAAATCCACTGAAAAACATTGGATGTTTAATAAAACAAAATGACTGGAGTGATACCACGGCCTAACAGAAAACTGGCGTAAAACAACCACAGCATTGTTCATTCGCCGTGTCAGTGAGGTTACCGGAGTCCTAATTCTCCCCCCTCTTAAGCTCACAAAGGGCCGGCAACTCCTTTGGTATTGCGAGTGTCCATGGGTGGCTCCGAGCGCTTACCATCAAGTAATCAGTCAACTCACTTGCCGACCAAAAAAAAAAATTGACACAGAAATCTATACTATAATATTATAAAGCTGAAAAGTTTTTTTTGTTTGAACGCGCTAATCTCCAGAGCTATGTACTTGTTTGAATTGAATTCTTTTTGTGTTTGTTATTACATTTAACGAGAAAGGCTTAAGGCTATAAAACATCACGCTACGATTTGTAGGAACCGAGCAGCGAGTGTAACCGCGCGACAGAAGTAGGTAAATAGGTTATAGTCTGGATTTCTGGAGTAACATAACAGTACTTACGCTACTTAACTAATAATAATATCATCTCAGATTTCAGAAGTTAAATAAATTACTAAAATTCATAAGATTAAGTGGAAAACATATATTTTTTAATGATTCATCATTAATTTTCTAAGAATATTATGTACAGGATTAGTGTTACGATGGGAAAATTGTAATACGTCATAATTTATGGTTTAACATAATATTTGCATTAACTGATACAGTCATGTTATTTTGTCACGCTGACTCATGGCAAGGAGATTCCAATATTCGAAATGTGCTAATTTATAATGTGAAGAAATCACCATCATCGGTACGTCAATCATAATATGTACTTGAATGACGATAGAAACTCATATTTATGTCATTGTGGATTCCCCCCCCCCAAATCTCTAAATCTCCAAAACCCCTTATCCTCAAACGACCGGCAACCCACTCATAACTCTACTGTTGCGAGCATCCATAGGCGGCGTGGATTGCTTTCCATCAGGTAATCTGTCTACTCACACATAAAAAAAAACTAAGTACCTACTATAATTTTCTAAAAATTGAATTTAACCTATTCTAGTTTCGGGGCTGTTAATACCTTACGTTCACCAGTCATACATTTCTTTACTAAGGCAGCGAGGCATGAACACATATCTACAATCTATAAGTACTATATCTACAATCTATAAGTACTAAAAGAGGTAAAATTTGTAAGTTTGTATGTAGGGGGTAATCTTCGGAACCGCTGGTCGGATTGCCAAAATTCTTTCACTGATAGATAGCTACAATGTTCCTGAGTGCTATAGGCTATAAAACATCACGCTATGATCAAATGGAGCCAAGCAGCGGGTGAAACCGCGCGAGAGTAGTAACTAATATTGTAAGTAAACGCGAGAGTTTGTCAACATGGTATCTTTGTTTATTTTTTTACGTAAAATACTAAACGGATAAGAATGAAATTTGACATAGAGATAGATTGTCGTTTTTTTACGTTGCCCTCATTAGGATTTTTTCCTGTGTCGTGGGTGCGTTTACAAACATACACCTTCACACAAACACATCACACCCTGATCCGAAACAATTAGGTATGTGTGGATTACACAAAGAGTTTTTCCGTGCGGGAATCGAATCCGCGACACTTTGCGCAGCAGCTAGTTTCCCAGCCACCGTGTCAACAGTGTAGTTTGGTTTAGGATAACAATTTTTGGCTGGCTACTTTTTACCCTGGTTGATACTTCTGATAAAATCCACAGTTGATGCAGATACTTGTAATAAATAATTATAAAAAGTAACATGGGAATTAAAGTTACGACCTACAACAATGCAGATTGATCTTAATGATAATATAATTAACTACGATTCATTATGCAACTGAAATGTGTGTACCTACGTAATTATTATTGTGAAATATTTTTTTAACATTTAATTTTTATATTGCCAATTATATTAATTATTAGGAAAAACACAAAGTTCGTGTGTAGCAGAGTAATTATCATTTCCGTGAGCGATGTTTTTTAAATTCAAAAAAAGTTTACATATAGAATCAACGAATCGTACGCCAATGACAATTAATATTAAAAAAAAATCTGTTTCCAATATTTTATCTATTATTTAAATTTAATATTATATGGGAAGACAGATTGATAACATGATACAGGTTAACAAAAAGAAATAACTAAAAACATTTATTTACTTTACAACTGGGTAGGCAAGTATTATAGTCGTGGTGGCCCGGAGGTTAAACAGCCCGCTTCTCATGCATGAGGGTGTGGGTTCGAAACCTGGCAAGTACCAATGTTACGTTTTCCGAGTTGTATGTGCTTTCTATGATTATTTAGACACCACTGACATACGGTGAAGGTAAACATCGTGAGGAAACCTGGACTTATAATTTCTAATTATAAGTTTGAAATCGCCAACCCGCATTGAGCAAGCGTGGTGATTAATGCTCTAACCTTCTCCGTATGAGAAGAGGCCTTTGCTCAGCAGTGGGCACTTATAGGCTGATGATGAGTCAAGTATTTATGTAAAATTTTGTTAATGCACCCATGAAACAAAAAAAAAAAACAGTAGAGCCACTTATTTGACATGAAGAAAATACAATTATAGATTAATAAACTATTATGTCAAGTCTTATAAACTAATGTAAATCTCCGGACTTATTGACGTAAAAAGTATATCGCCGAAAATACTCGTCCGTTTTTTATAAAAACCTCTCAACTCTACATACTATTTACTTTAAAAACTATACACTTCAAATAAAAATAATAATTTAAACTTGGTATACCAAATTGGAGATAGGACAAAGTGACTATAGTGAATGAAATTCGCATTTGAATACTACTTGCTAAAAACATTGCAATATAAAAAAAAATATTACTTAGAGCCTAAACTACAGGGACTGCGACAACAGATAAAAACAGCCAATACTCTCAAACAATGGCTCATATCGCTAATAAGCTTCGCAAACAGTGACGTCACAACACACGTTCCGTAAAAGTCAATACAAAGTTTACATAATAAAATTCGCACGTTTAAAGTTTCCTGTGACAAAGAGAATTATCTTTAAGAACGTTGTATACGCATTTTTATTAGCCTAGTCAATTATCTACATAATAAAGGTTTGAAAAGGAAATCCTGATAATTTTAAAGGAACATAAATAAATAAAAATTCGTCGATTACAGCGGATTTCACAATCCGGTTCGCAAAAAGATTTCAAGTAAATTGGTACGAAATTTGGAGATTGGTATGGCAACACTCAGAAAAATTATCAAGAATAATTCATCCTGTATTAGGTATTATCTTACGTCCTGCCCTACTTATAGTAACCTAGCGATCCGCCCAGGCTTCGCACGGGTGTAATGCTGATAATGAGTTTCTTCACTATTTAATGGATGTTACTATACATACAATATAAACATTCCTCTACAATCACTCTGTTTATAAAAAAAAGCCGCATGAAATTCCGTTGGGCAATTTTAAAGATTTAAGCATACATAGGGATATAGGGACAGAGAAAGCGACTTTGTTTTATACTAGAAGATAGTGATGTAGTGACCATTACCAAAATATTCTAAAGGAACAGAATATACCTACATAGACTGGATGGATGGATCTTGCGTTAATTTTCTTGTACCATTCTATACTTAATGTTATAAACGCGAAAGTAACTTTGCTTGCCTGTCTGTATTTTCTTCACGCCTAAGCTTCTGAACCGATTTCTGTGAAATTTGGTACAGACATAATTTGGAACTCAAGAAAGGACATAGGATAGTTTTTATAACAAAAATCTTCAGAAAGTCACTGTTAAACGCGAATGGAGTGGCGGGCAAAACCTAGTCAATCTATAAATCTATTGTCTTGTTATGACTGTATTTTATAAGATGAAAAATTTAACGCAAAAGTATAATTCGAAGCATAAATATGTTGTCAAGTTTCCAGGTAGGAAGTATAAACAAAACCAACGTTAACAAATTGGTTCTTGATGACCTGATTAAAATTTTAAAGTGAGGTCATTTGAGTATTGTTGTGTAAACAAGAGCTTGGCCTAAATGACCTGGTTCTACATACATTTTTGATGGATAAAAGAAAACATTGTTACTGTGTACCTAAATCCACCGTAATCTCTCAAAACCGCTGCAATTCCTGTAAGCCAGGATCTATAGTAGCTACAACCAGGAAAACATCGGAACACTGAAGTCTGGCGTTACCCAGGGATGTGAATAACTGTCTCGGATCCCGGGTGGATCAAAAAGTATATTGTAACGTACAGCGACTTCGTAGGAGTTCATATATGTATTACTATCATTTCCACTTACCTAAGGTTCTTAACCATTCTGTTCTCGCTGGGTAGGTCGAGGAAATCCAGTAGGAACCGCAGCCGGTCCACAATCTCTTTGGTCTCCATGCCGAAGATCCAGCCGAAGTACATCATGGTTTCTTTGATCGTGAATTCTCCATATAAAGCGATCTCTTGGGGCATGTAGCCTACCCGCTTGCCGGGTACTCCAGAACCTGAGGATATTGAAGAAAAGTTAATTGAAGTTGGTTTTCTTTTTAATTATGTCTACAACGCTATAATTAAAGCGTATCCATTTTATCTATTGTGCTTTGTATAGATAAAAACCGGAGACATTTTTATGAAAATATATACTTTTAAAATATTCTTTTAGAAGTAATTTCATACTCTATATTCTGTAGTTATTTAATTAAATTAAAGATAAACAGTGACATGAAAGAAATACTTCTGAAAAGGTCATAGATCTCCTCCGTATATTTGTCATTATGTTGGGAAAATTTAAGAAATGCCTAAGATTTGGTTATTTTCTCAATTTTAATAAGCGTAGAAGAGCTATGTACGCTTCGGCACGAATGGGTCAGCTCGACCGGAGTGATACCACGGCTCCACAGAAAGCTGGCGTGAAAGAACCAAAGCGGTGTTTCGCCGTGAGAATGAGGTTACCGGAGGCACAATCCTTTCTCATCACAATCTATCCCTAATCCCTAAATCTCAACCATAAACCCCAAATGGTCGTCAACGCACTCGGCTAATCCGCTTGATAGTTTGCAGCCCCATTAAAAAAAATATATGTAGATGATGAAGATGCTTACCTTTGGTGCCAGGTTTGCCCCCAAGCACCCATATCTCGCCGCTGTTCAGTTTCCGCCTGCCGACGATGCAGGATAGCAGAGTCGTCTTACCACATCCTGAAGCTCCGAGAAGACCGTATCTGTTAACAAAATTATTATTAGCATCAAATGAATAATATAAAAAAGAAATGTATGAAACTACAATTTACAGACTGTATTTTAAAATGATAAGATTCTTAAAGGAAACAACCATTGAAGTTAAGACCAAAAAGTATTTTCACATCAGCACAGTCAAGGTTGGCAATCAAACAAACTTAAAAAAAATTGTACAGAAATCTATAGAATCAATTCTGGATGACATTATGGCGTTTCTTCCTCGATCTTCTCCATTGGAATCTACACTTTGGAACGAGCAAATAGCTTCACTAGAGGACTGCCGGACAAACTGACACTTTCTATCTTTAAGCTTTGTTTGACGTTCAAAAGTGCTTGTAAGGTTTACAATTAGTAATAAATGGCTTTAACTTTGAAAGTTTAAGAGACATTCCTTTGGAGGGGAAGGATTAAAAATTGCAAACACATTCCTGAACTCTAGTCGTTATATTTCTTCTTTTAAGCTATGATGGTATACATTGTACTGTGTTACAAATCCTCTCTAGGTCACTTAACCATTCCGTTTCACCACGCTACGCCACTGTTAATCTAAAGCCATCACATGCATTTCCTAAAACCGTCCGAGATCGCAACGGTCGGACGCCTGCGTGCGCCTGCGCAACACACGAGGACGAAGCACTTGCGAAACGTCAATTTACATTCTATTCCACACAACAAACTTACACAAACACTTTATAACACTCTTATTTTATAGCAATAAAACCGAATTTCGGTTAATTTTTATGCATGTGTTTATTGGTAGAAAAAAATGTTTTAGTGATACTTATGTAGGTTGTTTTAAGGTTGATTTTTGTTGGTGTTTTGTTGGAGGATGGTCAGTATATTTTTCATCATAGGCTTAAGGAAAAGACTGTATGTATTACAGTATGTAGAGGATGGCGACAATTGTTAGGCTGTGACTTATTTCCCAATGGCTGGATGTATGCTTAGGCGTTATGCTTCGTGCGCACGCGCAGCGCCAAGGGTGACGGAAGGATAAATTAAGTAACCTTTGTAATATAGAGGATGGAGACTTAGGTCGAGATGTGTAGGAGTTGAGTAATGGTTGCTTAGGTAAATAGGTCACAATTAAATATAGCTGTACTACTTCGATGCTGAACTAATTCATTAAAATACAGGAAAATAAGCTCAATACTCAATAACTTATTTTCCTGTCTTTTCCTGAGCTTTGCTTGAAAATCGCATTTGCAGACAATAAGTATATTTTAATGATAAAAAATTTCTTCTAATCATATAAGGGACTCGAATTCAAACAACGACGGTCGAAATTCCTATTTAACTCTTCTAATAATCACTTTTTCAAAAACCAAAATATATTAAAATTGCACCAGTAGTTCCCGAGATTATTACATTCAGACAGATGAACAAAAACAGACTTCATATGTGTGTGTGTTGTAAACATACAGTAAAAAACATATAAACGTCTAGTTCAGTTATTTCCATTAATAAATACACTGGTATTTTCCGTAGTACTTATTTATTGGTTTAAAAATATTCCATTGATTGTCTATTCCTGTATCGTCTCGAATTCATAGATAATAGAATTTAACAAAAAATGGCGTCGGCTTAAGCTTTATTAATGATTATGTATGATGCTTGCTGTGTTTAGACATTTTTTTCGTTATCTTTTGTGATATTAGAAGTATAAGACAAAATGTATATGTGTATTATGAATTATTAAGATTTTAACTAATGACGTTATTATAAGTAGTTTTGTAATTTAATTAATGCCATAATTTTTAATGAAAACCCCACTTTTCTTTACTAAGTATGAATTGAATAGTACCGCCAGGGAAACAAACTTGTCTATACTATACTAATATTATAAATGCGAAAGTAGCGCTGTCTGTCTGTCTTTTCTTCTGTGAAATTTGGTACAGACATAGTTTGGAACTCGAAAAAGGACGTAGGATAGTTTTTATACCAATCTGCAGGAAGTCACTATTCCACGCGAACGGAGTCGCGGAGACAGACATACTAGGAATTAAGTATTTGCCAAAAAAAGTTAAGAAATATTACATCGATCACAAAATCATCAATAACACCCATAAGGTTATGGTGTTTGACGTGTCATTGCTAATGACACACATCAATATACTATCTATTAATGGCATACCAACCAAACATTAAAAAAAAGCAAACTGATCTGCAAAAACCGACCTTAACGCCATGGAACAAAGTCTAACAAGTCTTGACGAAAAAAAATAATATTGCTATGCTTAGTATAGGTTTTTGCTACGAATATCTATTTATAATAGTAACTAATATTATATGGTAAACTTTTGCTGTATGTTTGTATGTATTGAATAGTCTCCGAAACTACTGGGTCAATTACTATTAGGATCTTTTTATAATTGGAAAAGCTTATTCTCCATATATAGCATTTTTTATCTAAAATATTGATACAAAATCGGGACATAGGGCGTTGGGTTGGGGCGGCAGTGAGTTCTCGGATCACCTGATGGTAAGCAATTGGAGGTGACTATGGGGATTCGCAACACCTTGGCAGGTAGAAGTGAGTTGCCTTTTGGGGGTTTTTAGGAATTTGTGGCGGTGTGATTTTTTCATTGTGCTGAGAGGTTTGTAAGCATTGGGCCTTCGTATTGGGAATGGAGTATAAAAATTCAAGAATAATTCGAATAACCTGCCTAGAGAAAGGCGAAACATCATTATAATATACAATAATGTTACAGCAGTTTTCTTTCAAAACTTCAACGTGTCAATTATTAAGCTATTTAATAACGTCAATTGTATATAAATTATAAATAAATACGATATATAATTGTTATGTAGCTCCTATTATTACCTAGGAAACGTGTATTTTGCATTTTTTTCCTAGTACATAATTCAAGTAACAATCCTAACATTGAGATTTGTAGAATATTTTTCTAGAATATTACATTTACACGTGTTTAAAAAAAACAAAGGCAGGTCAATATAATTGTAGTTATTAATAGGAAAATATGGCTTTAGTTAAAGTTAACTTTTGTCAGGGAAAAATCATCAAATGACTTCTCCCGCCCAGGGTAAGGCGAGAGTGAGTGTCAGACTCTTACTGACTAAACCCCACTATTTCTTTTCCTGTTTTAGGTCTAACATTAGAGTTAAACCTAGAATAAGTCTTTATAACAACTGAACAATTTGAAAAATTGTTGTAATATAGTACCATCTCTGCTTAACCTTTAGGTAATTGCTGAAAATGCGTGACATTATTCTTTTATTTTGTTACTTATATTTTTGATGTCTTCCACGTATTTGTTCGTATGTATACAAACCTTTACAAAAGATAAAATATCTTTAGGCTCTTATGAATTCTGTTCATACGATATTAAATAAAACCAAAAATCAAAATATTTACGACGGAGTGCAGCAGCTTGCAGCAGGTTTTGGGTCGGAGTGGCCTTTCGTCAGTAAGAGTCTGAGGGAGAAATCATTAGACTATCCCTCCCTCTCCTAAAAAACCCTTCTAAAGACAAGACACATTTCACAATGTTTCTTATATAGGTACTAACCTAATCGACCCCTTCAATTCAACCACAACCTACATTCAAATATAGTCCGTCATCCGTCCGTAATTAGGCCTCAATTTGCGTGCTAGTCACGTTCCATACTATATTAGGGCGTCTATCTTGTGAACACAGGTATTTGTTATGATGTACTGTATGTATATATGTATGTATATGTAAGAGTCAGTGCTCATATATGGGGAGGTAATTGTTAGTATGGCTTGACGTCAGACTGTCAGTACTTCCTGACATCGATGTACTATTGTTGCGCATACGACGATAGCTGGTTGTATGTATACTAACGCTAACTCAGTAGTGTTTTCATAGACCATGATATATACATATATCTTCGAAGATCAGCAATCTTTGCCGCCCAAGGACGCCTGTAACACCGAGGTGGAACAATTGCGTTATGGGCCTTTTGGAGTTGGGGATTTGGGGTTGGGGATTTGGACGCTGGAGATTTGGGTTTGGGGATTGGGGCGTTGGGGATTTGGTGACTAGGGGATTGGGGTGGGTCAATCGCCAATCCACCTAAAGCAAGCTTGGTGGTTAATGCTGAAATCTCCGTGTGAGAAGAGGCCTTTGCTCAACAGTGGGCATTTATAGGCTGATGATGATGATGATGATAGTGACATATTTATTCTACTCTGTCTTATGTTATAATGCCACGTATCCATTTAATGTGTTTATGTAGATCTTCTTCCGTAAGTACCTATAAAGGCGACTGCATATTTTTTCCGTCAGGCAACATTGGTTTCCGGTTTGAAGGATAATGGATGATGGCGCAAATAATGACCGTCTACAAGTCTTGATGTTTCTAGAACTACATATTATATTAATGGTCTTGTAAGTACAAAGTACTAAGTCCATTATAGAGAATATCACTTGACTACGTACGCTAAATATTATTTTACATCAGCGTTTTGTTTGTGAGTTTATTTTCATACCTTATCATGTAACAGCCTATTATTAGTCAGAAAACAGTAATTTAGTCTGCCGAACTAAAAGAAGGGACTCTGACATGTAAAAAAATAAAATAAAATGCCTTCTCCTTTTTCTTTTTTGAGGAAGAATATTTATCAAATTGAATCTTCCACCCTGACTTGGTACATCGTGGTCCTTGGACCCGCCTCTCAAGGTGGACTTTGGCCCTAGTGGGCCCCATTGGGTGCGTTTCTGGTTGGGCGATAAGCTACCCTTGCCCGTCAGCCTTAGTGGAAGCCTAAGGTCCTATAAGTCCAATCAGGTAAACGATCACAAGTTGACAAACTAAAAAATTGACATTATCAAATATATTTTAGTTCTACACAAGCCAAAATCTAGCGCCTCTTGTGACGCAATCAACAAACTTTTCTGTTTGAAGCTGATCAGTTACTGTTTTATCAAGCTCAATAACACATAATATATTACCTAGACAAACAATTCAAAGGTCAAAACCACATTCATAAGACGCGGATCAAGCCGTTCTGTCCAATAAAAATTAACTTGTTGCGTCAGTCATTACTGATCAAACTGAACTGACGTGGCTTGACGTGTAAATGTTGCCTTAAAGAAGATTTGACGTAGGACTATTAAAGCTTGGGACACAATACTATTTATTATAATTGTTATTTCTTATTGTTATCGTCTGTTTGTAATGGTTGGGGTGAATGTAAGTTCATAAGCGTAGACCTTTCTAGAAGTAGTACTATACTACACTATCATTCGACCTTCGAATACATTTCGAAATATACAGAGGAATTACATTGTAGATTCCCCTAAGTCCTAACCACCAAACAATCGTCAAAACATCATCAATTCCACACACACTAAGCGTTTTGCCTCAAGTATATTTTTATCGGAACAGCCAAGGATCAGAATTATTTGCTATTGTACCTAAGTCGTCTTCGAAGGGTATAAATTTGAGTGTCTTCAAGGCTCGAATGAATAGGTTTCTTACGTGCATGCGTGGTCCATAGTAGAACGCATCGTTTTTAACCACCAGATTAGATAAATGCCATTTTTTATAACTTTCGATTAGCGGATGGTTTGACTATCTCAGAAAAAAAAAATTGCAAATAGATGAGGACACTAAAATACTTCAATTTTTTTATGTAAGGAATCATCACATCCTGCTAAACAAATTCGTCTACTGCTTTTGACCAAAAGGCTTTTGACGACCTCGGAAAACATTCTAAACATTTTACAACGCTACATAATAAGTAGTAAGTAGTAATAACTATAGGATTGGAAGAATGAGACTTATTAATTATTAAAAGACTTATTAATAAATAAATAACAGTAAAATTCCTATAAGTCATAACGATTAGGTACAATTAGCAAAAGTATCCTTTGACATCCACGAACATGAACAAATACCTACAACAATTATTAAAACTTCCGCTTACTCATAATAATAATTGTAAGCATCAATTGTTAATAATCATTATAATACCATTTGTCAGAGGTTAATAATGTTTTGTTCCTCGCCCTCCGTACTTTGGCACTCCGCCAGACTTCCTACCTCAAGTACCTACTGTTATTACAAGTAAGAACTTATGTATTACTAGCGACCCACCCCGGCTTCGCACGGGTGAAATGCTGATATTAAATTCCTCCACTATTTAATGGATGTTATTATACATAGTTAAAAATCAGCTTAACCTTCCTCTTCAATCACTTTATGTATTGAAAAAACAACCTCAACGAAATCCGTTGCGTAGTTTCAAAGATTTAAGCAAAAATCTTCTACTTAACGTGTCACTTAAAGAAATTCCCTATGAATGGGTATTCCACCAGAAATCACGATTTGTAATCTATTGGTTTGGTCACGATGGCAGATAGGTTTCAAGAATAAATTTGTCAACTTAACAATTATGCCATATATGTACAAATAGACGCATTCGCAATTATGCCCAAACATTGGAAATGCATTACAGCAACATATAAAGATTCCGTTTTGGACTCTCAAGATAGGTTCAGTACCGACGCAAGTAGTTGATCAATGTCTTGATGTATCTATAGTTATTCTAGACAATATCTTAGTCTGTATACCGTTATCAGATGTGGCATTTGTCCAAGATTCTCATCTTGTTTGTCTTCTAACGGGAAATGTTAAATTCTCTGCCAGGACTTGTAAACATATCCGTGAATTGCTTTGGACCATTGGCATTGCGGAGATGGATCCATACTATCTTATCTCTGTATTAAAGTGTCATTTAATATTTGTGTGTTGTAAGTGTGGGAGAGCTTCGGCACGAATGGGTCGACTCGACCTGAGTGATACCACAGTTCCACAGAAAATTGGCGTGGAACAAGTACAGCGTTGTGTTTCGTCGCATGAGTGAGGTTACCAGAGGCCCTATCTTTCTCCTCCCTAATCCCTAAATCAACACACTTGGAACTCCTCCCGTGTCGCAGATGTCCATGGGCGGCGCCGATTGCTTACCATCAGGTAATACGTCTTTCTTTTGCAGTATCACTTAAAAATGTGACTGTTTTAACACGGCTTTTAACAATGCAGAAGGAAAAGAGAAAAAATAAGATCATGGCATGATCACCCCGCCTGATCGAATGTTTTTTGATCCCCCCTTTTCTGATCTTAGGAAATCAAACCCCCAGTTCCCTAATGCGTCAATTGTATTTGATTTAGCTTTAATTTGGTGGTCTACTTACATGGTACCCTTAGCAACAGTCATGTTAAGGTTGCTAAGCACATGGTTGGGTCGTTTCTTGGAGCCGTAGTGCTTGAACGCGTGCCGCACACACACCGCCTGTTGACGTTTCTGCCATACCTGTAAACAATTAAAATACTCTTTATAAAAATTGGCTATGTGCTGGTTCAATCGAATTTCGACTTTAGGATGAATTTTAAAAGACTCAGTTTTGACTAGAACAATTATAAAGAGGCTCTATCGGAGTGATAACATGGCCTTACAGTATACCAGCGTTGGGTTTCGCCGTGTGCCCTCCTTGAATCCCTAAATCTCCGAAACCATTATCCCCAAAAGACCTGTAATGCACTCCTAACTCCTCTGTTGTTGGAAGGATCCTTCGTCGGTACCGATTGCTTACCATCAAGTAAACGGAAGGTAAAAGATAAACAGAAACGAATGCCAAAAAGGAAAAACCACATATAGATGGTCTTCCGGGTCTTTTTAAGACCAACGCCGAAACCAACCAATACACATTCTCAAGAAGACTTGCGTCTTCCTTGATCCTAGCTGTGCGCTTCGGTACCTGTCACCATTTTCCCTGAAGCCATTTAGTACCTATCAACAATTTTGAACATCTATAGTCATCCATAGGCACCTATACCATCAAATAATAAACAATAAAATATTTATTATCTTCCCTATACAAAACCTTTATGGAAACGTAATTAGCCATTGTTTTTTACTCCTTGTACAAAGCTAAAATAACCTGACCTTAAGTTGAATAGAGACTGTGGACAATGGGAGATCAGTTTGTGATGGTGGTGTAATGTGATTTGCTGTCTGTATGTTTGTGTTTATGATTGATTCATGTTAGGTACATGTGTGCTGTTGACCTTTAAGTGCAAGTGTACTCAAGTGTTAGGAAGAAAAGATGAGGGATACTTTTGTATTTCGGGCTAATATCGATACATTTGTTTGTTGTTCTAGATTGCTTTATTTTAAAAGTCCAGAAATTGTTAAATTATTATAATTACTTTAGGTCATCGAAAATGTAACCCCCTAGCTTGGACCGTATCGATGATAAAGGTGGGAAGTGAAATAGCCGCAGAACGCTTCGAGAAAAGGATGATACAGCCGTGCCCGTTTTGCTTGAGACTTGGCAGAGGCACTACTGTGGCCGCAGATAATTGAATTTGAAATAAAAATATTTCAAAAAGATCTAAATTGATATGGGACAAATATTTTTCGAGCCTATCACTTACGCGAAGAATACAAAATGGCGAACCAAATATTTATATCCTTGTTCTAACAGAACATTCAAGACGATATTTTAAATAACAAACCTTGGCATATTATTATGCAAATATAATTATTTTCAAAATCGATAAATAAAAATAATCGACACATTAAATTAATCTTTTTTTTTTTTTACTTGCAATAAACCAGTGCTTGACTGCGATCCCACCTGATGTTAAGCAGTGATGCAATCATTGATGGTAAGGCGCACTAGTTTATTAAGAGCCTATTCACTCTAGCCTTGAAGACACCTAATTTGTATTCGGACGGAAAGACTGCAGCCGGCAAACTGTTCCAATCCTTCGATGTACGCGGTATAAATGACGAGGCAAAACGCTTAGTCCGGGCCGCAGGTGTCTCAACAACGTTGGGGTGGATATTCGCCGTACGCCGGGATGTCCGAAGGTGAAATTGGGATGGCGGAATCAAATCGTGCAATTCCTGGGCACACTCTCCAAAATGTATCCTGTAGAAAACCGAAAGGCTGGCTACTCTGCGCCTGTGCTCGAGACTTTGAATATTGGACCCAACCAAATCTGGATCTCCAATCAGCCTCTTTGCACGCCTTTCCACCGAATCCAAAGCCGCTAGGTGGCATTTTGCAGCACCAGCCCATATGTGGCTGCAGTACTCCACACACGATCGGACCTGAGCTTTATACAACAGTAGAAGCTGACTCGGTGTGAAGTACCGTCGGACTTTTGCAAGAACGCCGAGTTTTCTAGCAGCTACCTTGGCTCTGGACTCAATGAACCGCCCAAAGTTGAGGTCTGAAGCAATGTCCATTCCCAAGAGCTGAAGGCGGTCGGTGCACTCCAGGGATACATCCCGAAAAGCAGGAGCCAAGGTGAACGGGCTCCTTTTGGCGGTGAATAGACACGCCTGTGTTTTTCCTAATAATAGTGCTATAAAAGTTACTACACTAATACTAAACAAAAATGTAATGGCCCTTTGTATAACATATTTAATGGCAGGATAAAAACAAAATTTTCCTAACAGGAAAAGTCAATGAGGAAATCAAAAAAAGTTTTGCAAAAAATTTCGGCAACACCCTTCAATTAACACCACCATATATAACTTTTATTGGGCCTTTGTTCATAGTAAGAACCAATTATTACACGTTCAGAAGGAAAACTGCAAGGAAATCTGCAGCTATTTAGCTGGGGAAAAAGATTTCATTATGATTCAATTGTGTCTTGTTATTGGACAATGCTAGGTGATGGTCAATCGTCCTGTAGGACAACAAACCTACACCTAAAGAATATTAATAACGAACTCCAAAGATGACGTGTGAATTTATTTTATCCTTTTTCAAAAAAAGAACACTTGAAATTGATACCAATGAGTCCTCATATGAAAAAGTTACATAGACATTGATCTGATCTGCCAAAAAGACAATCCTTTACCACATAAATGATAAATTTTGCATGCCATCTACATATATTATGGCGAAGTGTGAAGTTCAATGTTTAGCTCTAAGATCTTTCTGTACCTACCATGCTTCGTGCAAATAAATGAATTCTATTCTATTCTATTCTACAAAAACAAAACCTCAAACCCCAAATTTTTTACCCGCAAAATGTCAGCAAAGCACTTGTAACTCTTTTAGTGTTGCGAGTGTCTCTAAGTTTTTCCTATGGACTGCAGATGTCTAAAACCTGATCGTAAGCAATCAGCGCCATTCATGGGCACCCGCAACAACAAAGGAGGAGGAAGGAGCTACGAATGCGTTGCCGAATTTTTGGGGGTTAGGGATTTAGAGATTTTGGAATTGGGGGAGGAAAGATTGGGCCTCCGGTAACCTCACTCACACGGCGAAACACAACGCTGTGCTTGTTTGCACGCTGGTTTTCTGTGAGGCTGTCACTCACTCAAGCATTGCTCTTCCACACCTAATAAATATGGGAGGGAATGACTGGGGCCTGGGCTTACAATCAGGTGATCCGTCGGCTAGTTTGCCGATCTAAATATGTATCATACAAAAAGTCCAAAATAATTTAATAATAGGCTTAGTAAAACTCTCAGCTCATTGACACTAAAACAAAGTATGATATAAGACCATAGGAAACGTAATGGAGTTTCTAAATAATACATTTAAGACACCGGTTTATGCGAGAGAGGTGGAATTAATGTACATTTGGACAATAGCATTTATGTAATCAATGTTGAAACTACAACCTGTAGCAATTGACGTGGTTTATTATGTATTCTTTAAGATATCCACACCTGTGCGAAGTGAGGTAGACTGTCTTTATCATACATAGAAAACTTAATATCCATCCCATCCCATTATCCCTTTTTCTTTTCACAAATTATCATACAAATAAACCTTCCCCTTATAAGTTTGAAATGAACAAAAAAAGAATTGACAAAATTGGTTCAGGCGTTGTTGAGTTACACATTGTGCTTACCAAATATGTATATTATAGATCTGTAAATCGATTTTGATTTTTTGCTAAGAAATAATTTTTTTTTATTAAGGGTTGACTATAAGACTTTTAATGAGAAAGGTCAAAGCAAAAGTAGAAGTCGGGTAGCAATTGCCCCAAAATTATTTTCGCCCTATAAAACTTAGCAGGGTTTGCGGGTCAAGCACAATGAGGTCCCACGACCTCGGCCTGGTGCAGGAGAAGAAACAGCGATATTTTTATTCAGTAAGTGTCTGACACTCCCTCTCGCCTCACTCCGTGAGATTTTCGGAGACTTTCTCTCTTAAAAAACGCCCAAATGTTTAGTTGATCGGCTATTCATTTTGGCAGTTCGATTTTGGAATTTTGGTACCACACAATTCCAAAATCGACATTTTTATTTCGCTCTGGGTTTAGCGACTAAAAACCGCTCTGTCCCTTCTTCTGCTCCAAGTCGCGGTATATTAATGCGCTTACCCCCACTGATAAGGCTTTTATAATATTAAGCAAAGATGAGGAAGGTAACCTTAAACTTAGGGACGTATTATCAGCTACTATTATAAGAGCGAACAGAAAGAACATCTACAAATCGATTAACTATGTATATCGATATAAATCGATTAAATTCTTAGTCAAACCCGAATTATCTAGAAAAATATGAGTCATTTATACACAAGAGTTATTATTATACACAGGTTTCTTAGTAATATTAATCGTTAATTAGTTGTCAGATTAAAATATTTATTCATCTGCCCACTAATTGGATTTCTTATTTGCCAATCAGTGTGCACCAATGTCATCGGCTCAAGTCAAAAATATTTTGTTTAATTTTGTTTTTATTAACCTTTAATTCAAGTTTCTGCTAGAAGAACAGATGAAGAATCTGTAACTTTTAGGTCATTCAGAATAGAGTTAGACAAGAGAAATGAAGTTAATAAAAGGACTATTGGCCCACATAAGGGTAGTCAAGAAAGGTTGGAAAAAGAAGAAAGTTTATATACCTATGTATCTACTAGCGGTCGCTCGCGGCTCCGCCCGAGTGGATGTCGAATTTACAAGTTTTTTATTCTTAAATTTCCTCTAAGTACAAACTTTTTCTGGACTTCCACGACTAATTCAAGACCAAAATTAGGCAAATCGGTAAAGGCATTGTTGAGTTATAACATTACAACGAAAAGTGGCATTGATTGTATAATAATATGTAGATGCAGGTAATTTCGATATAAATTTCAGATCAGACAAGGTATGCTACCAAGAAACTTTTCTACTAAGAATCTTCATTATAATAAGCCAACGAGCAGATGGATTAACTGGTGGTAAGCAAATAGCGCCAACTATGGACTATGAAAATACCAAAGGAGTTCCATGTGTATTGTGTATTGCCTGCCTTTAAAAAGTAGGTTTAATATGATTTTTTTAAACTTACCGAGCTCTCCTGTTTTTCGAAAGGAGTTGAGAACTGTATCTGGCTCATCTTAGACTCCTTCGCGTCGCCCATTGGCGACGGAGGCGAGGTCTCTCTGTAAACAAAGAAAAATAAACATTAGCATCATTGTTATTAAGTTAAAATTGAAACAACATTGAAATACTTGATAATGGACGATATTCAAACGAAGATTTTAGATTTGTTGTTCATGAAATGGCGCTAGTGAGACGTAAAGTACTCTAGCCAATCAGCTTTGCTGTCAAGATTAAACTGACCAATAGCTTTACTGTAATGGTGGCCTAGAGGCTAAGGCACACGCTTCTCATGCATGAGGGTGCGAGTTCTCAACCTGGCAAGTACCAATGTGACTTTTTCCGATTCGTATGTACTTTCTATGATTATTTAGACACTACTGACACACGGTGAAGGTAAAAATCGTAATTAAACCTGGACTTATGATTTCTAATTATGAGTTTGAAATCGCCAACCCACATTGAGCAAGCGTGATGATTAATACTCAAGCCTTCTCCGTGTAAGAAGAGGCGTTTTTTCAGCAGTAGGCACTTATAGGCTGATGATGATGATGACTGTCTTTACAGTATCAAATATATCGGCCCATTAGAGATCAGATAATTGCTTTTAGTGTCGGAAAAACCATCTGAATTTGGCTGCAATAATGCATAAATTGCAAGCCAAAATTATATAGTTTTTATTATACGTAGGACATTACCGAAAATGTCTTCCAAGGCACACAGACGTACACCTTGACCCAAGATGAGTCATAATTTCGCTTTTTTAACCGACCCAGTCATTTTAGCCATGGTGCAAGCCGACAGTTAAATTTTATGATTACTTTAATAAGCAAAACTTTTTACTTCATAGTTATAATAGGCTTTCGTGGTATTAACTGTTTATTTAAGCAGACGTGTGTCGAGTTGGCAGATAATCTTAAAGAAATAAATAAGAAGATACAAGTTTTAATGAGAGAATATAAAATAAACTGTATAATGGTTATTAAATAAGTTTGATAAAGAGATTAATAATTGTGATGGAAGCGAAATCCAAACTTCGAAACTAATATTACAAATGTGAGTAACTCTGTCTGTGTGTCTTTTTTTCACGCCTAAAATACTGAACCTATTTGGTGCAGACATAGTTTGGAACTCTAGAAAAGACATAGGATAGTTTTAATACCAAAAATCTGCAGAAAGTTCTACGCGAACAGAGTCGCGGCCAAAAGCTAGTAGATAAAAATGATGGCACCTCGCAGTTTTTGTATGTCTCTGTGATTATTACAACAAGAACAGGTAATTAATATTTAAGGTGTTCCATGTTTAAACAATGAAATTTAAAACAGATAATTAAAATTCGCATGCCTTATTTATAGTCTATATAGTCCCAAATGTAGGTAGTTAAAATGAACATATATATGTATGTAGGTTATAATGTTATGTTATGTTATATGTAATCTCCTATCTCGAAACACGAACAAGCAAATCTATTGCTTTGCACAATCATAAAAAAGTAATAAAAATGTGTCTCAGAATATCAACGTAATGTCAGTGTGACGTAATTATAGTATGTTGATTACATATGCATTTACATAATTATATATGAGTACATACATACATACATTTATACACTCATGTGTTTGGATTTGGCGGTGAATGCGGATGTCAGCTAAATCTGTTTACACAGCAAATTTTTGTGTCGTTTTTAATTATTGTTATACGTGAATTATAGGATGTATTTATATAGATTCTTTGGTTGGTTTCTTTGTTTATTTATTTTGGTGTTTTAGATATGTAATTAGCAATTTTTTTTGCATTATTGTAAAAGTGTTTGTATTTTCTTATCATTGTGGATTAAGTAAATTATTTTTTATTTAGATCTGTATAAAATAGTAAAGAAATTATTGTTAATCATTTAAGTTCTATATACACAAAGACTGCATATGCATTGAATACCACAGAACCAAAAATACCTTTTCACGAGTCAAAGTTTTTTGAGAGAGACCAGCCAAAGATTAGTTAAAATAAATATAGGTAGATTAACACCCGGTTTCTGAAAGGCTTGTCGACGCTAAAATTAACTAATCTCCTGTTAAATCTCTTGTCAAGTCATCTGATTGGTTGTTGATAATTCAGTCAACCAATCAGATGACTTGACAAGAGATTAAATTGATTTTAAAATTGATCGACCTTTCGGAAACCGGGTGTTAAAGTATAAGAATATACTTAATAATAGGAGTTAAGTGACCATAGCAAAATAGAGTTTAGTTTCTGTAAAATAATTAATGAAGTTACTCATTCTAATTTTAACATTCCTAATGATGTGAACACAAGCACTTAATTATTATTGTCTTAAAGCACTTAAAATCACGTTCGTATAAAACACCGACTAATTAGAAAAACCTAATTATTCAGATACTCTACGCATGTAGAATAAATTAATATGAAGGATCCAAGCACACGATACATTACGGAAAAAACCCAAAACGTGAGGTCAAGGACCGAAGTGTTTAGGACTTATAATGACTCTGTATAAAACACCTGATGAATGGTAAAGGTAGCTTAAACAGTACTTCCATACCTACATTATTATAATAAAGGAAATATTGAGATTTGGAAATCGAATTGAAATTGGTAGAGTCGTTTTCGAGAAAGATACTGTATTGATTATTCACTAAATATTTCCTAAAGTATATAAAATAATAGGTACATAGGCTTTCTGATCTTTTTCAAGACTATATTTTCTGATACTTGTGATATAGTCGCGACAGACAGTTAAGCCTGTCATAATTAAAATCATTCAAATCTGATCTGTTTTGCCAAGTCGTATGGCAACGAATGTCCATAAATTTTGGATGCAATTTAGATACTTGATTTTATTTTTATTTAAATTTTAATTTAAGTAATTTTGAAAATTGGTGTTGTTGATTTGTGTATATAAAATTTTCATTAAATTACTAGGAAAACAGGAAGCTTAAAAAGTAATCAATACTATAATAAATATTAAAAATCAACTTTAAATTGCAACTCAATTCGAACCGTTAGTACAAGGCTTACATAAACAAAGCCACGACAAATGACAATCAACTGGAGTAATCTAAATCGGTTCACAGCCGCACAGCCGCGCCATAAAACTAAGATACATGTTAACTGGTTGCAAAGTTAACTCCTTCCGTGGCATGTCTTCCTAGTACACGTCACAGTGTTACAGCATCAACTATTGTCACTAGTCACGTGGGTACAGGCTGTTGTCAAGCTGGTAGACGTTAAAACATGGTTCTGAAGTTTAGGAGCAGCTATTATTTCGCATTAACCAATTTTCTTTTAAGTCATAGAACGGTAAACGAGCCTATGGTGTGCAATCAGCGCCGCCAAACCAAAGTGTCCAAATTCGTCAGCTCAGATCGGACTGAAATGCCCTGGAGAATACTACACGAAATAAACCTATAAAATATTTTAATCAACTTCCAAAATCGATTCTCGATCTAAATTGATGTATCGTGTATCGATATAAACCGAGTACTCGATTGGGACGTCACATCGCACACAGCTCGCGTCTGACGACACGAGACGTGATGACTTATCAAGGACATTCGTGACTCAGTAGTGCAAGTCCGCACAAATCACGTACTAATAAGAAATGCGGTTGAAATTGTAAACAATTTTCTAGTGTAACTGTATTATTTATTCTGTGGTTTGTCGTTGTTTTATTGCTTATTAACGACCCGCTCCGGTTTTACACGGATGCAATGTTATGATACTAAATACAGATAAATGCTAGAATGAATGTTACTAAGTGTTTTTATTCTACAGAGGGAAAAGGACCACAGAAACTATATTTTTTTCTAGTATACATACGTATTAAAACAATGGGCGATTTTTGTCAACGACATATAAACTAGTGTCTGACTGCAATCCCATCTGATGGTAAGCAGTGATACAATTGTTAATGGTAAGGTAACAGTATTAAGAGTCTATTCACTGTAGCCTTGAAGACACCTAAATCACAACTGGACGAGAAGAAGAAGACAGGCAAGCTATTCCAATCCTTAGATGTGCGTGGTATAAACGACGACAAGCGAAACACTGAGACTACTAGGTAGGTACTTAAATAAATAATCCTTCATTACCAATGATGATTCCATATTTACTACCATCAGGATTAACATAATAGAATAGATCAACAAGCACTTACAACTAATAAACACATAAAACAAAGAAACCACAACTTAGTATTACAAGGAGACCATAAAAGAAAAGCAGTAACAAAGCCACATAAACGTCAAATTCCAATCGTCTTGTCTCTCACGCACAACGTCAAGGGCAGTACGAAAGAAAGAGACAACTACATACTAATCAGTATCGTATCGTAATCGTAATTTCGCCATTCGACCGTGAGGGCATGTCAAAACGCAAGATGCGGATTGAATGAAAATGGAAGGTGTGACCAGAATATAATTAATTTAGAACAAAGACTGTACCTATGATTAATGTTCAATTAATACCTAAGTATTAATGTCATCTAAAACTAATTGGATTATTATAATCCACCTTTGTGTTTAAAACTGATTTCGTAATCTAAATCAGTGTTTGCCATTTGACCTCTAGAAATGTTTGCGGAATCAGTTTATTTCGTAATTATCTTATCTATGACCACTAGCGGGCATTTAAAACGATAAATTTACCTATTTTAATTAAGAAATAAAGCATATATTTTGGATTAGGAGAACAAAAACATGTTGGAAATCCAGTATAACTATCTCAATAGATTTACAAAAATCGCCAATTCGAAACGTGACAAGAGGATCCGTTCGTACAAACAAGAGATGAATATAATATTATAATACGTTTTCCTCTAGCTATTAAAAATGTTCCACATTACCTAGTAATTATTTAGTCAATTAATACTATATGTATAATCATAGTATTTTGTTCTAAGATTCTAAGAAGGAATGGCTTGAGGAAACTGATGGAGGTCGCACGTGAAACATTACACTAATACGCTTCGATGCATAACTCTATGCGGCTTATGCGATCCTGGTAACTACACCTAGTCAGACGAAGAATTTTCTGGAAATTTTTGAAATGTCCTCAAAAGCTACAAATAAAATGTAGTTTGAATACAATCAAATCTTTGCTGATATTTATTACCAATTATATTTTCTTATTTAATAATGAACTATGGGGGTTGAAACTGTACTGCACCCTTGACGCGGTGGCTATATAAACAACCTGGTTTTCGGGGGTTGAATTCTTGGATGGTATAGCATAGTACGATCCACAAATCGATTCGTGTTTGGGTCTTATGTGAAGTTTTTGTATATGTAAACGCACTCACGACACAGGCAAACAGACTATTGAGTGAGGAGCAACGTTAAAAAAACTAGAGTAACCGATAATATACAATATATTAAATTTTTCTCTAAACTGCTGGATCTTTTTTTTTTATTCTATTTTAATTAGTGGTTTTTATGATACGTCAACCCCATTGTAGCTTATACTCTATTTTCTCACAACCATACAAGTATTACTATTCTTATATGAGACTAAGTATCTATAAACTTCAATATATGAAAGGAAATTATTGTCTAGGTTCTCTCTGAATTAAGCCCCAAATTATGCGTTTAGTCCTTACTGATTTAGGGTATGCCAACTGCTGGATTGATTTTGAAGAAATAAAACAAAGATATAGATTTCATACTAGGAAACTCGCGATCAAAGTTACTTATGCTATGTTTTGTTATACACAGACTAGACTAACATTAATAATAATATAAGTGTATTTCCCATATTTTTTCCTTATTCCGACTATCAATCAATATACTCATACTATGGCTTTGAACTCAACTGACCTCTCCACAGCGCCATGTTATGTTAATACCTATAACTAAATATAAACACTAGAAGTCTAGTTTTTATAACACATTCTTGGAAAACATTAAATTAGATGCTCATTTTCAATTAATGTTGAATTACAATGGGATAAAAAGTAGGTAGTCTATTATCTTATTCCAGTGCGAGAAATAATACTGTCTGTGCTAAGTTTCATCAAAATACGTTGCGCAGTTCTTGCGTTAAATGTAACAAACATACATACGTACATCCTCGCAAGGTTAAAAACAGATATCAAACTACTTCCACTTTAGAAACTTCAATTGATTTACAACTTTAATAATTGAATAAAATTAGGTCGACAATCGATTGAAGAATGCAAAAAACACAATTAAGTACTAAAATCTTAACGGGCTGTTGTTTCAAAATGCATTGAAAAAAAAACAACAAAAGGATTAAATTTATTGAAAGGAACTTTTAAAAATATTCGTTACCTTTTAAATTTCGAACTTGCTAGTACCTGTGTCAGCCAGTATAACCAGAAATTGGTTACGACAAGAATACTTTATAATAATAAAGGTTCTCAAGGTTGCCAACATTCAAAACAAAATATTTTTTTCAACACAGAAAACAAATAAAGAAAAAATATTTGTTGAACTATAAAAAATATTTTCGTATATTTAATGGTCTGTTGTAGTTATAATTACTCCACATCAAGCTGAAAATTTATCGTAAAACATACTTTTAGCTTAGGTAAAAGAGGTTTAATTCACGTAAAACGGTATATACAAAAATATACTTTGAAGGCACTATATTTATGTAATCTATAATTTTTCATAGGAATTTCCAATAGTTACTTTCGGTGCACCAGGATCCAGAGGACTAAGATACAGAGAGAAAATACCGAAACGCTAAAGTCCGGTGCGTTCCAGAGACATGAAATACTAGCTTGGATGCCGTAACAATATAAATAAGAAGGAATATTATTAATCTCTGGAATTGCTGGTTCGAATTGAACAATTTTTTTGTGTTTGTTAGTCCGTATATCGAGGAAAGTATTAAAAAAACCTCACGCTATGATCTATAGGAGCTGAGGAGCGGGTGAAACCGCGTCACAGTAGGTAGCAAAAAAATAAGGACAATTTATGACGTAAATATTGCCACACAACAAATATCTTTTCAAATGTTTTTTTTTAAACTAAAAATTTCTTTGCCAAACTTGCCATCTTAGAGCCACCTACAGGCTAATAGTAATTCTTGGTGATAGTTAGGTTTGATAGAAAAGAGTGATACTTATATGCCAGATTTTCCTTTGTAATCCATAAATTCATAAAACGAATATCATTTTTTTTTATTAAAGAGCAACCAGTCTTTACAGAAAAATGGCCTTCATGCAACGATTTTTGGCGTATACTTTTGATTATTTTAGTGTGCATAGCATACCTGCCTATTATAATTTGAGCGAGCTACCGAAGCATGCCCTTTCGCTTTATCTCAGCTCGATCTACTTTCACTACAAAGTCATTTATTTATCTATGTGAAAACGTACAATTAAATTTTAGAGAAAATATTACGAATTTAATTTTACCTACATAACTATTCGACATTCTTAGAAATTTGGCCAGCACTGACTGACGTAATTAGATAAATATTTCTTTAGCAGAGATCACTGTAAACTAGTCAAATATTCTTTAGGTTAGTTCTCTTCTTTGGCTAATTCTGACTATGTATGTATGATTCTGGCTACTCTCGCGCGGTTTCGCCCGCTACTCGGCTCCATTTGATCGTAGCATGATGTTTTATAGCCTTTAGCACTCAGGAACATTGTAGCTGTCTATCAGTGAAAGAATTTTAGGAATCCAACCAGTGGTTCCAAATATTACCCCCTACATACAAACATACAAAATTTTACCTCTTTATAATATTAGTATATTTAGATATGTAGGTAATTCTAATATACATATAATTTGACTGGACTGTATTGGTTATAAAACAGTTTAGCACTATTTAAAAACTTAAGCAAAGTTGCCAAAAATTTCTTTAAAAGCAATTAATACTATCAATTACTAATTAAGTTATTAACATTAACTGCCACTGATAACGTTTTAATGTTATTAGATTCATATTACCTTTCTATGCACATAAAAAAGAATATCTAATAAACTAAAAAGAGTATTCCAATATCAATAAAAGACAAGAACTAAATAATTAATTATACATTTTCTCCGACATTCTTACTCTTAAAGCGTAAAATAAATACTGAAACGAAAAATCCGATATTTTGCTATCTTATAAGTACCTACCCAACGAGGCTTGAGTCTGATAGTTCTTTTTTATTGTTTTTTTTTTCAGTACTATATTATATTTTTATTTGTCAAATTATTGTCTATATTATTATATTTAGGATTTCTTTTAAATTTGTATTATAGCATTTTATTTTTTGTGGTATGTCCGCTTGTACCATTCGTTCGCACCATTGTCAATAATTATATTAGCATATCTACTATTTAAATCTATGTATTTAAGTACCGCTATTGGTTACCTTAGTAAATAAAAACTTCAACTTTCTACCCTTGTAATAAAGTTTATAATAAGCCAACAAAATGTATAGTATAATACTCACAATATCGAAGCATCTTTTTTTTATTTTAACAAATCCATTATCACTCACAAGGAAACATCTGATCTCAATAGCGAACTTAATATTAATAAATAGGCAATTTTTTACTTCGTAAAATCGTTATAACACTTCAATAAGAAAGTTAAAGATCGAATTGCAAACACACAAAACTACATACATAACAAATTGCACAAAAAGACTAAACACTGCTAAGGAATCCAGCTAAAAACTTATAAGACATATACAATAAAAGAAATACACCCGACCAATGACGAACGGACAACTAACAGTGTTTTCAAATTGCCACGCTATTGAATCACCTAGAAATGTCATAACTTATTAAATTGATATTTAATTAACACTATTAGCTAATCAACATTGTAACCGAATGCTTCATACTTAACGTAGCCCTACTACGTTCCACGTTAGCAATAAAGTCTTTGAATAGGATGTTTTCTTGATTTTTCTCTCCATTGGGATGCTTGACTGACGTCAGTGAATTTTTGTTCATTCATCAAAATGATCAAAATCATTCACTATTTCTAAAACATTGCTAATAAATTAAGATCTTATACATTCTTCGTTAGGCCCCTGTTAATCGTAGCGTGATGTTTTATCTGACCTAAGTCTTCCTCAATAAATGGACTATACAACACAAAAAGATTTATTAAATTCGAACCAGTAGTTTCAGAGATTAGAGCGCATTCAAACAAACTCTTCAGCTTATACATTAATATTAGTATGGAATTGCACAATGCTATCAATTAGCGTTTTTAAAAATGATTTTTTTATTAATTACTGATGTATCAAAGGGGCTAGTCAGAGATAGAAATGCACATATTTAATGCAAAAAAACCACTATGTTAGATAAGTATTTACATTAGTTATATTTTATTTATTTATATATACTTTATTGCACACATACACCAAGTAGCAATACATTGGATACTATGACCGAATGTTGTGTGTTGTAAAAGAAAAGTTATACCTATTTGACATAATACAATAAATTGTTTATCAATGAATGAATTCCAATGTTTAAAAGATTAGTATCTATCTAACAGTTAGGTATATTTCAGGCTGATTTTTATTTGAATTTGTCTTTGTACCATTAACGATTCTGTGAGAAACATCTAGAATCTAGAATAACAGTAAAGTTGATAACGAAACCATGAATTATGATAGATTTATTTTTGGTAATGGGCCATAAGACAACACTTTTACATGGCAAAATTATATGTAAAATACTAAATGAAGCTAGCATTTTCTTTCTAACTACTCTGAGAAGAAATGCCGAAAGAAAATCAGAAGGCAATGAGTAACAAATACCAAATCTTACGTGAGAGCTTCCATAGATTCAGATCTCCGCATATTGTTACTACACGATCCATTTTGCGACATATCTGTTACTAACTAGTATCTACAACCACCGTCCACTTTGCACTTCCAATCAACACTGATAATTGATAACAAATTTCATTATCGAAATGCATGTCAATTTAATCCTTTAGGTATTGATATTTTTGGATAGCAGATTTTCAAAAATTGTCATGCTTAGTCTGGGATTGTGTCTGGTGTTCTGACTGATAACACTTGTTGGTATAAAGTCTATTTTTTATGTGATGGAAGGGCAAACGGACAGACAGAAAGAAAGAAAGAAAAACATTTATTTGAGACTCGCACAGAAAATAAATACAATTACATTTTATATATACAAAAAGAAAAAACAAACAAAAATAAACAAAACAACAACAAAATATATGAAAAAATAAAATATCAGAAGCAGACTGATTACCTGATGGTAAGCAATCAGTGCCGCCCATGGACACCCGCAAAATTATAAGTATAGATTTGATATTGAGTTGAGCTATGGACAGACACTATGGTTTAATAAAATGGTTATTTTATTATAAACATACATATTACAAGCTTTTGCCCACGACTTTCTGCAGATTTTTGGTATAAAAACTATCCTATATCCTTTCTCGAGTTCCAAACTATGTCTGTACCAAATTTCACAGAAATCGGTTCAGTAGTTTAGGCGTTAAGAAAAGACAGACAGACAGACAGAGTTACTTTCGCATTCATAATATTAGTTTATATGTTTATGATATTATAAATAAAATAAAAACACGAACACTGCATCACTTTCAAATATACAACAACGTTTTGATAAATAAACAATAAAGCATTGTATGCGTAGTTATCGCTGCGTATTGATTATATTGCTGACTCGGTATAAAATCGGACGTGCGTTTTGATAGCGCAGTAAATCATAAGTAGCATTGTATGCAAAATTCCAGCTTATAATCGACACGTACGTTGGTACAGGCGACTTCTGACTCGTGTATGGTGAATAATTCTTGGTATTTTTATTGTTTTTTTTTAACTATTGTTTTTTATTTGTATGTATAGAGTATTGTTTGTTGAATAAGTTTTAGTTAGTTTTGCTTATTTATTTATTGAATACTACTCAATTCTTAGGCCATATACTTGAGAAAGAAAGAAAAGAAAGAAATATTTTTTTTATTTGGCATGTACCTACAATAATTAGCAAAAAAAAAATGCAACAGTGTTGAGTTCAGAACAACTAATTCTTAAGACACAAAAATAAAAAATGTAATTAAACAACTAAAAATACGAAATACTAGGTACTTATAACAATATAACTGCTGTATCCACTCATCTCTCAAATATTGTTAATTAATAAACGAAGTCAATTGAATTCCTGAAATCCCTCCCCAATGCCTAAACCTTCAAAACCCCCATCCCCGAAGGTCGACAACGCATCGCGTTGCTGCGGATGTCCATGGGCGTCGCTGATTGCTTACCATCAGGGAATCAATAAGCTCGTTTGCCGACCTATACTTTAAAAAAAATACACAAAAGCATTTAGCTTATTATATCACTTGTCTCCTTGTACAAGGACGATATTACATAACATATGTACATATATATATATAATATTACATCATACATTGAATAGACTATGTTTGAGGATAGACCTATGTCATCGCTTTCCCTGTCCTTATAATCGAGGTCAAGCAAACAGCCTCAACCTTGATTAATATGTACCCATGTATTATGTATATGTGGTATTATGTATAGTGATACTATCAGACGCGGTGCATCGAATATAGTTTTGTTATTTAAGAAATATTGCCCTGTGCTTTGATAATCTGTTGTAACGTGAATGAAAAAATTGAAGTCGACATAAACGGAATCAGAAAGAGAGAAATAAGAAACATTTATTCTAATTTTAAATATGTTTGTATTAGTACAACTTTTTTTTTTTAAAACTTTGCCCTACACTGGGATTTTCGCCTGTGTCGTGGGTGCGTTTACAAACATTCAATTTCACATGCACATGACACCCAGATGCGAAACAATTTGTGGATCACATAAAGTGTTGTTCCGTGCGGGAATCGAACCCGCGATACGTCGCACGGCAGCCAGTTGCCCAGCCACCGCGCCAACCGTGCAGTCGTACAACAACCAAATATTTACTTTGTGTTTTGAACTTTAAATTAGCACCTACGACACAAAAGAAAATGCTAGCGTATGGCAACATTACTTAAATAATAAAAAGTATTAAATTTGACATAAAATAAAATGTCACAATAACAAGTATGGCGTCACAGATTAAATATAATTAGTGATGAATGGTTTTACCTGAATCTTAATAGTTCTACCTAGACTCATGGGAAATACGCACTTTTTATTATCTATATTTTAATTAGTTAGTGCTTTTTATAAATACGGATGTTTTTTTTAAGTTAGAGATGTCGCAAGATTCGATGCTTTATTGTGCGCTCACATAACTTGTGTGGCCATTAAAGGAGCGGATAAAACATATCTTAAATTCGTATTACTAAACTAGCTAGCTAGAGGCGTCGCTCGCAATATCAAGGTTAAAATAAGCCTATGTATTATTCCGGATTATAACCTATTTCTGTGCCAAATTCCATTCGAATCCGTTCAAAAGTTTTTGAGTTAAAAAGTAACAAACATACATGTATAGTTACAGTTTTGTGTTTATAATATTAGTAGGATAAATTATTCTTTAGTTTTTTCTTATGGGAACATGGCGTGAGTTAGAGGTAAACGAAATTCTTAATTAGTTCTTGTCTTAACCAGAATTCAAAAAAGTCCAGATAAAGAACAGGATCTCAAATAAATCTTATTGGTTGAGGTCACGGATCAGGCTGCACTTGTCCGGATCTAGAATCTCGGAACTTAAACAGGATCGTCTTCAATCACATTTAGACTAACGACATTACAATCTATCAGTGAGATCATTAAACCAGTTTTGTGGGAAATTACCTGTAAATAACAAACAAATCAATAAAATCGACTTCCTAGTATGAATACCTTAGACCTTCGTATACCAAGACTTGATTATTTATTATTTTGACCCTGGATTTAGAAAGTATTCTGTACTTGGCTACTTCTCTATTTTGGACCCTAGAAATGAACTGCAGTGTCGGTTTAATGACTCAACTGTTAATTGTCAAGGCAAATGCGATCTGAAAACGAGAGGCTGGACGGTTTAAAAACTACTATCACACCAAGAATCAGGTTTTAATAAAACTTTGAAGGTTTTTGTAGTAAAACCGTGAAATAAATGAAGCAAATTGACGTGATTGGAAATCGCTCTTTTTGGAACAAATAAAATCTGTATCAAAATTAAGCCCAAGACAAATAATGATCATTATATAAGCCACGAGTCGTTTTACTGCTGGAGATAGGCGTCCTAATCACATCCAGATCGACCAGATTAAAGCTATCTGCATCCAGCACCTCGGACATAATCTTTGTGAGGGGAAAATCATCAAATGACTTCTATCGCCCAGGGTGAAGCGAGAGGGAGTGTCAGACTCTTACTGACCTAAAAACCCCCCCGTTCCTTCTCCTGCGTCAGGTCGAGGCCGCGGAACCTGACATTTTAAATAAAGACTTCTCAAAATTCTTAAACACAGATTGCAATCTCTTTGCTTGTTAAAAATTATCGCCTATAATACACCGCAGTTTTAATGGCCACACAATTTCAATAGACGATGCTTTCCAGCCTCAATCGATGTTCACACGACACTATTCCTTAGCTTTACCGCTACCTCTTACTGCTTATGTAACTAAAGTGTCTATGTATAGTCTATGTTCAATACATAGGCATATAAAGTCTTTAAGATATTATTACTTTTTTATTGCGCCTAATAATGAGTAATCTTATGAAATGTACCTAATTAATACTCAAAGGTAAAATATATTGCAATACTCCTTTTTGAGGAGGGAAAATAATCTAGTGACTACTTTCGTCCAGGGACTCTTCCTCTCAATCCAGATCGTTGCGCTTAACCCGTGACCCCGGCTTAATATCGTCCCCGTTGGACTCCATCTGTGATGCTCTATTGGCCCATTCAGGCACGCACGGAACGCTACACGACACACGCTGTCGGCGTTCTAGTCGGGCGGCGAGCAATACCCCATCGTACCTTATAAAAATTTCTTCACATACATAATACATAGTAACTTACATACTTATACAGACCTAAGCACGTATGTTCAGTTTTTTCATCTATCTTATCAAGTAAGCAATAAAAATAATTAGGTTATCGTTCTGATAAAAAGGTTGATCTTTAAATTTCGAATCGTGAGAGTCGTTATAAAACAATAATTAATTATTACTTATTGAGTACTACGTGACTTGTGACCAGTGAGCAGTCGACAGATACAAATACTGGTGCTTAATAGACCACGACTTGATTGTATGTAGAATATGTTTATATTTCAAATAATTTGATGGTAGCAATACTTGCATTTTTTTTTATAAATAGTGTGGTATCGTTTGTGTAATGTTTAAAGATGTTTTTATGGTTTAAGTCAGCAAACGAGTAGACGGATTACCTGATGGTAAGCAATCAGCGTCGCCCATGGACACCCGCAACACCAAGTGCGTTGCCGACCTTTTAAGGATAAGGGTTCCAGATATTTTAGAATTGGGAAGCCGTGGAGGGAGGGATTGGGCCTCCAGTAACCTCATTCACACAGCGAAACACAACGCTGTGATTGTTTCACGCCGGTTTTCTGTTAGGCCGTCGAAGAATAAATTAACAATTATTTTAAGCCCAATTTAAATATAAATAAAACTGACAGTACTGAAAAAAGTGAATCTCATTTCGACCTTAACAAAAAGGAAATACGTGTGGCATTTACAAATCACAGCTTTCTAAGCAACACCAGTACGTCCTAATTACAAACCACAGAAGATCAATAGCCACTCTACTATGCGATAATTCTCCGTATAACATTACAATTGACAGATTACATAAATTCTGCCAAGTAATCAACTCTCACTTGCAAGTACCTACAACTCGAGATACACTTTCTTTTTTTTTGTTAAAAGCATGTGACTATTATTATTTTTGTACCTTTACTTTATGTATATTATT